TGGGCGTAGGGTGGGATGCGGGGGGACAGACCCCAAGGGCGTGGGTCGCGCTCGCACGGTGCAGGGGCGTTAGCTCTGCCCTAGCGAGCCGGGTGACCATGTTCGTGGACAAGCCGCTCGCCACCCCCACCCGCGTCCCCGTTTTGTCTCTGCAAGGTGGATAAATAACAGTGCCGGCCTCAGCGGGTGGTTGAGAGATCCCCAAACTTGCCAGTTCACACGCGTGAGCTCTGGGTTCCCTGTTGGAACCTTATCCCGAGCCGGGGACTTATCTCTCGCTCGGGACTGTTACTCAGTGGATGTGGCGTGGGTGGAGGGGTGCTCATCCCTGGGGACGTGTATGATCAGGCAAGCGAAGGTTTACCTTGGTGGGTGAGGTCCGGGACTTGCCCTGTCCTAGTTAACATTTGTCACCGTCAGGAAACAGTGTGCATGTCAGAATATTCGATGTACTTCGTGTCAGGCTGGAGAACACTATCTCAGTGGACAAGGTGTGGTTATAAAGCAAAGGCAAAACCTCAGGACATAGCCCTTAGACACCTTTCTTCCGAACGCCTTGCCCCTGTGCACCGTGTCACTTGTATAGAAACTGGGGGGTGGAGTGGCACTTAGGATTTATTCTCAGAGCCCTAAACTCTCCAAAGCGCGCAGTCTTAAAGGCAGACACCTTAGGTGAACTTCCCAGAAGGGGCTGAGGCCTAAGGCTCGGAATTTGTTACAGAACCTCTGGCAGTGAGGTTCAAGCTTCAGCTTGGTGCGGAGAGCACTGATTGCTGACGGTTTGTTATTGCGGGTGGGTTGGTTGAAATCCGGGCATTCCCTGGGGGGGTGTTACTTTTTAATTTAGGAAATGACATTTCTTTGTTTGCTGGAGCCAGGCTTTCAGTAAAAGGTGTAGAGGCAGCTCGTTCCCGGTCCCATCTAGATAAGGGCCTTTCTTTTCAGAGAGTGCGTTTACCCATAGAATTCATTTTAAATAGTCCCTGCTATTTTCAAGAGGATCTTACCTGAATCTCTTTATAGCTTCCGCTGTCATTTCCATTGATTCCTTAGCGTTCAATCTGAAAACAATAGTTAGCTTCACTTTTTAACAGGAATCTTTCCAGTTCTGGGTTTTTCCTAATAATTAACAACTGTATTTTGGGGGTGCGGGCAGAGCTGTTGTGAGCTTCCAGCTACTATTAAAAAGAAATTGGAAGGGAAGGCTAGAGAGTTTTTACATTATTTTCAAACTGAATAAAGCCTATTGTAAAGAGATTACAATGGAAAACAGTAGAAATCTTCAGAGCAGTGGTTGGTATTCATTTATTCATTCAAGTATTTATTGCGTACTTACTGTGCGCCAGACACCCACTAAGTCAGTGCTGGCCAATAGAAATGTAACAGGAGCCATAGATGTAATTTATGTTTCAGTAGCCAAATTAAAAAAGAAATAGGTGAGACTAATTTTAAAACTGTGTGTTTCAATCCAACACATTTAAAATATTATTTCAACTTGATTCATTTATGTAATCAAATAAAAATTATTGGGATATTTTGAAGTTTTTTAAAAAAATTGTTCTAGAGCTTCAAAACCTGTTGTATGCTTTGTACCTAACCACTCATCTCCATTCAGACCTGCTGCATTTCAAGTGGTCAGGAACCATGGGTGGCTGGTAATTACTGTATTGGACAGAGTGGTCCAGATAGGCAAGTTCAGGTGGGTTGAGGAAGAGATGCATAAAAGCAACGAAAGCAATCAAGAAAATATCTGGATGATTATAACTAAATGATTAAAGGAAAGAAACTGGGTCACTTTACATAGTGAGGCCAGGAGGGACTCCTGGAAAATGATGTGAGCATGGTGTTGGAGCAGCCAAGTGAAGCTAATAGCTAATGCAAAGGTCCAGAGGCAGGAAACATCTCCCCAGCTTCCTGTCTGCTGAGGTCATAGCTTCCATCTCTGTGTTAAGGCTAACTGCCACGCATAGTGGAGGCTCAGAACCTGGTCGTCCAAACATGACCCATTGTTTAACTGGAAAATCCTGGAAGGAGTGAGAGGGGGACTTGGGAGAATGTTGATCAGAGGTTGTGCAACTTCAGTTAGACAAGTGGAATAGATTCAGGATATCTGTTGTACATTATGGTGATTGTAGTTAATAAATAGCAATATATGGTCTACTTGAAAATTGCTGAGTGTGGATTTTTTGAAATGTCCTGACCACAAAAATGAGAAGTATGTGGAGAAATGCATGCATTAATTTGCTCAATTGAGTCATTCCACAATGAACGTCTGTCAAAACATCCTGTGGTGGTACACTGTATACGATATTTGTCATTTAAAAATTAAAAGGGGAAAGAAAACCTTAATCCATAGGCATTTAAAAACCAAGAAGGGGCACTGCAGGTAAAATTCCAGATGCAGCTGGATCCTCTCAGCTCTGTTTTGTTTTGTTTTTAAGTTCAGCACTAATTATGGTTTTCTTTTCCTGTAGCCAAGTTTAGTTTGGACCCAGACTCCAAGAGACAGGAGTCACTGGCTTCTTTCTTCTTTTAGCTGTTGGATTCCTAAACTTGAAATAGCAAGAGATTAAATCCCTAAATCACAGAAATAGTGTGTGAATTCTGCGTAGTGGTGGTATTTAAGAAGGGTTTCATGTGAAATGTTTGGCGTAAGCATCCTAATGGTTTAACGGGCTTCATTTCATTTATATTTTAGAAGGCATGACATGTATTTGTTCACGAGATATTTACTGGCTGCCTGCTCTCTGCTAGGAAATCCGCTAGCATTAAGGGTAAACATATAAGATCCTTGCAGTGGAATGGACATCTTAGCAGGGGGAAGGCATATTAATAATCAAGTGGTTCTACAAAGAAAGGACCTTGAGTTGTGAAGGAGATTGACTAGGAATGAGAGAGGATGTCCCTAAGGAGTAATCATTTGAGCCAGACTTGAAGATGAGGTCCTAGCCCTGGAGAAGCATTCCCAGGAAGGGAGTAGCTGGTGCAAAGGCCCTGAACTAATGGAGCATAGGCAGGAGGCAAGAGGCCAGGGCACTGGAATGGGCCAAAAAACAAAGGCAGGGGTCAGGTAATGCAGGATTTTGAGGGCAGGATGAGGAGTTTGAGTTTTATTCTAAGAACGATTGAACCTGATCCCTTTCGGAGGGCAGGCATTCCCAAAGTGAGGGGGCAGAGCAGAAGCATGGAGAACAGTTGGCTATCTAGTGCTAGGGGAGGGGTGGTGCTGTATAGATTAAAATAGCCTTGGAGATGGGTAGAAAGTAGATTTGGCAAGTCTTTTGGAAACAGACTTCACTGAACTTGCAAATGGATTTCAGTTTGGGAGATGAGAGAGATCAAGGATGAAGTCCTTTGTACAGAATAGAGCCCCATAGGGCAAATGGATGGATAATGGGTATGTTATGGAGGAAATTAACCAAGTGTGCATATTTCTTTTGAGACAGGGTTTTACTGTTTCAGTAGTTCAGTCTGCCCTTGAACTCACTGTGTAGCCCCGGCTGGCCTTGAACTCACAGCGGTCCTCCTACCTCAGTCTCCCAAATACTGGGATTACAGAGGTGCACTACCGAGCCCAGCAACCAAGTGTGAATATTACCAGGATGGAACAAAGACATTTTCATCCAGGTCAATTGAAAACACACCTCCAGATCCATCAGTATCATTTCATTTGCTATTTGACAGCTATTTTTCATCCTCGGCACTGTGGACATTTGGGGCCTTGTGGGGAGGTGGGGCTGTCCTGTACAAGGTAGGATGGTGAGCTGCAGCCTTAGCCTCCATCCACTAGATGTGACACCCCCACTTAGGGCAATCAAAATCAACTCCACATATTGCTACACGCCCTTAGGGTTGACACTGCCCCCAACTGAGAACTCTGGGCTGCACAGGGAAGACATTAATAGATTAGGGCTTAGGTCACTATAGGAAAATACTTGGAAATAACAGAATTAAAGAAAATGTTGGTGCATTCCTGTATAACATCTAGAGACTTCTTTGGGATAATATCTAAGGTGACTTCTTACCACATAAATGTTCACATCCACAGAATTGTACTCATTGACATGTGATTGTGTAAATTTGTAGGAGGAATTCCTCCATCTGTACAAATGTCAACTTATTTTGTTTTTTTATGTTTTGTATTTCTGGGCATCGAATCCAGGGATGCTCTACCACTGAGCTATATCCCCAGCTATCCCCTCTCCACTCCCTTCTTTTTTGGTTTTTAGAGACACTGTATTCCAGGCTGGCCTTGAACTTACTATGTAGCCCCGGCTGGCCTTGAATTTGAGATGATCCTCCTCCTCCTCCTCCTCCACCTGAAAACTGGGATTGCAGGTGTGTGTCAGCACACTCAGCCCATCCCTTACTTATTTATTTACAGATTTATGTTGAAATGTTCTTGCTAAATTGTCCAGGATGATCTTGAATTTGGCAGTTCTGCCTCACCGCAGTCTAGGATTATAGGCATTTGCCACTGTACCTGACAACAGATACTAATTTAGACTTAATAATTAAATCTAGATTTCGATGTAGACCTTCAGGGAATGCATATTCTTTCTCTTTACAAAGACATAAGGCCAGGGATTTAGCTCAGTGGTGCCATGCCTGCTTGGCAAGTGCAAGGTCCTGAGTTTGATTCCTGGTACCAGAAAAAAAAAAAGGAAAATAGAAACATACAAAGGCATGATAAAGTTTATTAAAATTCTGTTTAAAAACAATTTTTACTAACACTGTTTTTTTTTTTCCTCCCGGGTATTGGGGATCTAAACTCCCGGGTATTGGGGACCTTGTGCTTGTGAGGCAGGTGTGGCACCACTGAACTATATCCCTGGACCTTAGTGACACTGATTTTATAAAACAAGATGCATCTAGCTGGGTGTGGTGGCGCACGCCTGTAATCCCAGCGCTTGGGAGGCTGAGGCAGGAGGATTGCTGTGAGTTCGGAGACCAGCCTGGGCTACATAGTGAGTTCCAGGTCCTTCTCAACTACATAGTGAGACCCTGTCTCAAAAAACTAAAATATATTGATATTTTCCTATCAAGCACATACCAGAAAATATTTTTATATAAATATATATGTGTACCTTTACCATTTGTTTCATTGAATCTAAGACACCATAGAGTGTGTTACCAGTCTGTGTCGCTGAAAAAATATTGCCTATTTAGCAATGAGAAGCCATCAGTCGTGATTTCATTAAAGTCAAATATAAGAAGAGATATAAAGATGTATCTTAAAGTTTATGAAATACAGGTTAAGTTAGTATCTACCTGGTAACAACCGTAAAAGCGTCACAGGTTGGAGCTGCTGAAGGGCCGGGAGGTGTCATGGAAAGGAGGCAGGGCTGAGGTGCCAAGGCCCCGGCTCATTGGCTTTTATTGTGCAGGCAGGTAGGAAACTTGGGATATATTTGTTTGTTGGTTTGTTTTTTGGTACCGGGGATTGAACTCGGGTACCACTGAGCTAAATCCCTAGTCCCCTTGATATATTTGAAAGAAATGACCTGTTGTGCTGTAAGCTTTCAGGCTTGGCAGGGTCTCTGGGGGCAGGAGAGTGAATTAAGTGACTCTTGAAAAAGATCTGAGTAAGATGAGACAAAGGTTGAAACCAGGACAGAGAGGAGACAGAAGTGGGGAAGATGAGGGAGGCCTAAACTATAAGTCTGAGCAAGAAGAGAGCAGGTCAGGGCTAGGTGCTTTCAGCTTTGTTGGTGGGGAGGGTGCTGTGAGCAGTAAGGACTCTGAGTTGCAGATACTCCTTTTACCTGTTTCTCCATGACAGTTTCTTTCGATGGGATTAAATGCATTGGCAGGCTGTTTGGATTTATCATCGCACATATCCAACATATCTTGCCGTTTTGCACTGTCTAGTATATTCCTGGCTTGGTGTTCTCTCCATTTTCTTTCTGCATGAGCATTTATAGGAAAATGAGGCCTCCATTCATTAGGTTTACTTGTACAAAGGTTTCTCTGACTCACAGTTAACTGGCTGCAGGGAGGGCTGGGGATGAATAACCCCAGTGGAATTTGGCCTGTGGCTGCTGTTATTGCTCCAGGTTATTTAAATGACAACTCACTCAGGGAATCCACAATATTCCCGTAGTCCAGGGTAGACTGCAGCTTCCCGGAGTCTAGCTGTTGGGGAGTGAGGTTGTGGTTTTTCTTTTTGGTAAGGGGGACTGCGAGGCAGAGGTGCCACTGAGCTAAATCCCCAGTGAGGTTTTGTTTTTGAAGCATGCTTTCTCTTGCCTCAGAGGAACCACTGCTGTTGGCTGAACTCAAGCCTGGGCGCCCCCACCAGTTTGATTGGAAGTCGAGCTGTGAAACCTGGAGTGTCGCCTTCTCACCCGATGGCTCCTGGTTCGCTTGGTCTCAAGGACACTGCATTGTTAAGCTGATCCCCTGGCCTCTGGAGGAGCAATTGTGAGTACTCTTTGCCTAAGGAATGAGAAAGTTTTCATGATGGGGCATATTGTTTTGGATTCTCCCTGTCCAAAAAAAACGGGAGAGAGGAAAAAGGGCTGAACAGTTCAGGAATTTGGCGGAGTGGTTTCCAGAGCTCCACATTCTGTATGTGGGAAAGTCAGTTGTATCAAGATTGTGTTAAAAAAAAAAAAGATTGTGTTAGCCCAAGTTGACTTAACAGCTTTATGGAGACAAAAATTGATCTTACACAATTCACTTAAAGTGTCCAATACCTTGGGTTTCAGTATATTCAGAGTTTTGCATGCATCACCATAATCAGGTTTAACCATTTTCATCATCTCAGAAGGAAACCCTGTATCCTTTTGTGGTTATCCCTAGCCCCTCTCTTATTTTTCCACCCCCTGGCAGCAACTAATCTGCTTTCTGTCTTGAGATTTGCCTGTTACAGATGTTTCATATTAATGAAATCTTATAATATGTGATCTTTTTTTGACAAACCACTCCCAGCATAATGTTGCACAGGTCATTCATATTGCTGTTATCAGTTCTTCATTTCTATTTATCGCCATGTAGTACAGCATGGTACAGAGACTGTAGATTTTCTTCATATATTTCTCATTGATGAACGTTTGGGTTTTCTTCGCTTTTGGGCTGTTTTGAATAGTGCTGCTTTGAACATTTCTGTGGAAGTGTTTTGCAGGCATTTGATTTCATTGGTCAGCCAAGGAAATATCAGGCTCTTTTCCAGGGTGGTGGTACCACTTACTTTCCCACTGGCAGTGTATTCAGATTTTGCATTCTTTACACTCTTGCCGACACTTGTTGTCTTGATTCCAGCATAGCCATCCTAGTGAGTGTGAGGTGGGATTTCCATGATTTTGATTTGCTTATCTCAGATGACTATTGCTGGTGAGCACCATTTTGTGTGGGTTTATTGGTTCCTTTTATGGGCCTTCTTTGGAGAAATACCTGTTCAGATCTTTTGCCCATTTTTAAATTGGGTCTTTTCTTTTCTTTACTGACTTAGTATAATTAAGTTGTTCTTTCTTTGGGATAGACAGGTCCCATTGTCTTAAGTGCTGTGAACTTCCTGTCAGATGGCCCAGCGTCTATATCTTTCCATTTTAAGGCAGAAAAAAAATCAAGACTAGTTTAAAATTCAATGATCAGAGAGTAGTTAAGGAAACTGATGCATTTCCACATGATATTTTTGGAGCCATCAAGGATTGTTGTTTGTTTGTAATCATTATCTTCAGTTCTTTCGATGGTCAGTCCTGTGGTCATACCAAGGTCATTCATTGTTTCTTAATCTCCCATTTTAAGTAAAATTTTGTGTCTAATCTGGAGTGTGATATCAATTCATTGTCTGAAAAGTTTGTACCAAAAAAGAATAAAATGGAAAGTCTGTTTTTTTCTCAAAATTCACTTGCACTCAAATACATACATTACTGTGGGTAAATATATCATTTCAATATTAAAGAAAACAGGGAAGAACAATTTTTAGCACCGAGAAAAGTGTTATTAATATGTCAAATGAAAAGTTTATTGATTTGTGAGAAAAAAAGTCACATTTTGGAGAATAGTAACCTGGGAAAATATGTCCACTATAAGGCTTATTGAAAAAAGGCTGGGCCTGGGATTTAAGTTCAGTGGTGCTGCCATCTGCCTCACAAGCACAAACAAGGTCCTGAGTTTGATCCCTAGTACCAAAAATAAATAAATAAATAAATAAAGCTATAAAATTATAAGTGCAATATTATCCAAAATTTATTTTTTAAAACATGTCTATACACAAATAGAAATTTGTAGTGAAATATTTACTATGGCAAGAATGGTGTTAGGATTATGAGTAATTTTTATTATTTGTTTCATCTATAGTGTCCCTCTGTATGTTTGTTTCTTTTTACTTTTCTTAATTTTACTGATGATAATTGTAGCTGGGTGATGTTCCCAGGAAGACAAATCATTTAACTATGAAGTCAATTCTTTTTTTTTTTTCCTGGTACTGGGGATTGAACTCTGGGCCTTGTTTGTGCTTGTGAGGCAGGCAGCGGAACCACTGAGCTAAATCCCCGGCCCTGAAGTCAGTTCTTGTTTTCAGAATATATCCCTGTTGTTAACAGCATCTCTTTCTAGAAGAACTCAATTTATATTAAGTAATAAATGAATGTGCCTTTATCCCTTTGTAATGAAGTGGCTGTAGGGTATATCCTTTAATTCAAAGACAGAAATCAGGATTTTATAAAAAATAAAATGTAACTTTTGAGACTCCAAGCTACTCTATGAAGTTCTTCCCGTGGTCTGCTTTGGAAGTCCTTCTAGGAGACTTGAGGGCCAGGCAGGTGTGGGTAATGTGGACAGGAAGGGAAGGGCAGTGTGCAGTTTGGACAGAGCCATTCAAAAAGACACTGATGATCACATTCAGCTTGTTTAGGAAGGGAAACACATTTTCAGATAGCCGTTTAGGCCAGGGGCCAGCCTCTTCTGTAAAGGCCCAAATTGTACCTATTTTAGGCCTTGTGGGCTTTTTGTAGCTTGTCATGACTATTCACGTTATGCCAGTATAGCACTACCTGCCCAAGTGACAGTGACAGGATTCCAGTAATATTTTATTCACAAAACCAAATTTCTGTCATGTTTTTACAACATGAATAAACCTGGAGGATGTTATGGTAAATAAGTTAAGCACAGAAAAACAAATACTTAATGTTCTTATGTGAAATCTAAGAAAAGTCAAATTCATTGGAGAGAATAGAATGGTGGTCACCAGGGGCTGGAGTTAGAGTGCTGGGGACCAGGAGATGTTGCCCAAAGGCCACAAAGTATCAAGCAGGGTGAATTCAGAAAATCTGGTCCAACGTGTTCATGGGAGTGAATGTAGCTACAAGAGTAGACCAACAGGCTGGGGATTTAGCTCAGTGATTCTGCTGCCTGCCTCGCAAGTGGGAGGTCCTGAGTTCAATTCCTGATAAAAAAAAAAAAAAGTAGACCAAAACTATGTGAGGTAAGATATATGTTCATTAGCTTGATTTAACCGTTTCATAGTGTGAGCACTTATCAACATGTACATTTTAAGTATTTACAGATTTTGTTACCTATACAATTGACCTTTTAAAAATTAATGAAGAGATTGTTGAATGAACAAACAAAACACACTGCTGGCCTGGGCATAGTTTTCCACCTTGATTTAGATTTACAGGTGAAATGGTTAAAATTCTTTAGTATATTTTACCACACAATTGACAGAAATGTGATTTACTTAGAACTTTTCAGAACACATGGAATAAAGAGATTCAACTACACAGAATTATGAGCAAAGATACACAAAAAATGGTATTTACTATTTTTGTCAATAAAATATACTATACACAGTAAACTTGTGCTTTCAAGTCCAAGTGCAGAGCTGTCCTCTTGCCTGTGCCTTTGGGACCTTGTCTTCTGGGTACAGCAGTAGGCAGTGTCTTGAAGACTAAGCCTCGCTTATCTGGACCTGTTTCACCACAAGTGGAGTAGAAGTCGGGGAGTTGGGTTAAGAGACCTTCCAGGGCAGTTCCTTCTCTCTCTTGATGACTCCACTGAATGGTTCTCCATCAGGGAAGTAAATGACAGCCTTTCATTATTGATTGGAACCTAGTAAGTGACGGTAGAAATCAACATGTACCAAACAAACCATATTGGATAGCGGGGTTTGTTTCTCAATTCCTTGAGGATTTCTGAGCTGAAGATAGGGGTTCTTCTTAGGCAAGATAGCAATAGCTGGGTATGCAGGCTCTAATTCTATCTGTCCTGGTTCCAAACCTGTAGTATGAGTATGCTCTCTCTCGGGGAAAACTGAGCGCATGCTTCTTTCCACACACCCAAACCCAAGGGAACGTCCTGAGCAAGACTCTATGGTCTAGTTATCCCTCAAGGCAGGTCACCCAGTTGGAGGGCTGTTGCAGATGGGATGAGTCAAGGCTGGTGAGGCCTCTGTTATGTGAGTCCCAAAACAACAAGAAGTGAAGTCACGCCAGAATTCACTGAAAGCCAAAATGTGTTTCGAGGACTTCAGAGTCTTACTGCCCCAGATGACATGTTGGTTGACCTGCTCATAATTTCAGGCTCATTAAGAAATCTCTTGTCTTCTGCAGCATCCCTAAAGGGTTTGAAGCCAAAAGTCGAAGCAGCAAAAGTGACACCAAAGGTCGAGGGAGCCCAAAGGAGAAGACACTGGACTGTGGTCAGATTGTCTGGGGTTTGGCCTTCAGTCCTTGGCCTTCTCCACCCAGCAGGAAGCTCTGGGCACGCCACCATCCCCAAGTGTCAGATATCTCTTGTCTAATCCTTGCCACAGGACTCAATGATGGGCAGATCAAGATTTGGGAGGTGCAGACAGGTAGGTCATTCCTGGCTGACGTGTTCACGATGTGTTGAGGGTAGGCTTCATGGGGCTCTGCTCACCTAGGTTGGCTGAGGGGTAGAGCATTGACTGGCACTCTGGGTGCCACCTCTCCAACTGACTGCTTCTGCTTTGCCTTCAGGGCTCCTGCTTTTAAATCTTTCTGGCCACCAAGATGTTGTGAGAGATCTGAGCTTCACACCCAGTGGCAGTTTGATTTTGGTCTCTGCATCACGGGATAAGACTCTTCGCATCTGGGACCTGAATAAACATGGTAGGAAATTGGTCGGACTACTTGAACGCTCCAAAAGTAATCTATTTGCCCCTTTCTCAATTTCATCAATGTATTTTAATCTAGAATGGAATTTCTTGATCTTTTGCTATTACTACTTTCTAATGAGCCTTTTTAACATTTTCATTCTAATCACCCTTTCTGTCCCAAAGAGATTATAATATCAAAGCTAGATCATGCAGTCATCCATTGGTATCTGAGGGCATTTAGTTCTTAGACCCCTGTGGCTGCTTAAGTCCCTTAGATGAAATGGCACAGTATTTGCATAGAACCAACTCACATCCTCCTGCATACTTCAAACCATCTCTAGATTACTTACAATTCCCTAAATGCTGTGGAAAAGTTGTTATAATATGTTGTTTAAGGAATAATGCCAAGAAAAAATCTGTACGTGTTCAGTACAGATGTAATTTGTGTGGGGTTCTGGGCATTAAGCCCAGGTCCTCCTTTGAGATAAGAGCTCAATAAATTGCTCTGGCTAGCCTTGAACTTGCCATCTTTCTGCCTCAGCCTTCCGAACAGCTGGGATTAAAAACCTGTATCACCACACTCAGCTTAGGTAGATTAAAAAAAAAAATGTTTTGTGGATCCATATTTGGTTAAATACACAAGTTGTTGAACCCACAAGTGTGGAGCGGCGACACTATGTAATGTACTGAAAGCATGTGCATTCTCTGCACATAAGGAAACATAAGAGTTTTTTTTAGACACCAAGAGCTAGTTTTGCCCACTTTTCAATGGGAGTGATAGTGCCTCTGGAGCAGGATTCCTTATCTTTTGCACTACTGACCTGGGGGTTGGGCACCTTGGTTGTGGGCTAGCCTGTGCATACTATATTGAGCAGCCTCCCTGGTCTCTTTTCTGTAGATGACATGGCACCCTCTCTGGTTGTGCTAACTGAACACTGTCTCTAGACATTCCCCAGTGCTCCCTGAAGGGCAGTAATTCTGTAGGAATAGAGGGGGTCAGCTTTTATGAACTTCTTTTTTTTTTTTTGGAACCGGGGATCGAACTCGGGCCCTTGCAGTTGCAAGGCAGGCAGTGGAACCACTGAGCTAAATCCCCAGCCCATGGGTCAGCTTTTATGAGGCTTTGCCTCGAGCAGGCTGTGTATGGGAATAGTCTAGTAAGAATTCCACACACCTCTAGTGACCTTATCTGTAACTGGTGATGTGGTGGAGAAGATTTGTTTCCATATATTCTCCCACAAGTGGTTGGGGGTCTGTGGGACCATTCCCAATCAACACCTTCTCTTCCTCCAAAGGCCTCACCTTCTAACATCAGCATGTGAGAATTAGGCCTTTAACATGTGGTTTTGCAGGGGGCCACAAACATTCATTGGTCCATAGTAGTGTGTCAGCTAAAGAGGCACTTGTAGTGACTTCATCTGGAAACAGCTGCTCACTAAGAACTCTGCCAGCAGTTTTTGCACATTTCCGTGGAACTTATGACCACGCTATCTAGGATGGGCCTGCTGACAAGGAAGGAAGCGTCTCCAAGGCAGTGCCTTTTTCTTTTTCTTTCTTTGTTGTTTTTTTGTTTTTTGTTTTTTGTTTTGTATCAGGGATCAAACTCAGGACCTTGCACTTGGAAGGCAGGTACGGTGGTACTGAGCTAATCCCCAGCCCTGTTTGTTTCTAATAGTGCTGGGGATTGAACCCAGAGCCTCATGCATGCTAGGCAAGTGCTGTCCAACTGAGCAGCACCCAATTCCAACAGTGCCACTGTAACTGTGCTTTAGTAAATACACAGAGGCAGCTGCTGTGTCAGAAGGGCCTGTAGAGTGACTGGAAACCACGTGCTGGCTGGGAGGGTTAGGTTAGGTGAGTGACGGAGAGAGGGTGGAACGGAGGGAGGGGAGTAAAGCTATGTGCTCAGTACCAGGCAGTGCCCTAGGGACTGGCCTACCTTAATGCATTCAGTGCTCATACCACCTTGGGATGTGATGGCTGGAGAAACATAAGTGACTTTATAAATACTAATTCTTCATTTTTCTTGCTTTTTATTCTTTTTTTTTTGGTACCAGGGATTGAACTCGGGTCCTTGTGCTTGCAAGGCAGGCCACTGAACCGCTGAGCTAAATCCCCAGCCCGCTTTTTATTCCTTTTTGAGATAAAGTTTTGCTGTATAGTCCAGGCTGGCCTTGAAACTTGCTCTGTAGCAGTGGCTGCCCTTGAATTTTCAGTTCTTTATCATTGAAGTACTTGGATGATAGGCATGTGCCCCCTTGCATGGCTAGAGATACTAACTTTTATATATTCGTAAATGTACATAAATTTCATAAATTCCCACATATGACCAAATTTAAAAATTCTTTTCATTTTCGTGCTTGGCTTTTTCTTGTTCTATTTTTTTCCTTCTTCCCCTTGAGCCTGGAATCCATGAGAAGAACCTGCTGTGGCCAGGTGCAGTGGCACCTGTAATCCTAGCACTCTGGGAGGCTGAGGCAGGAGGATCCAAGTTTGAGTTGTGTCTAAGTAGCTTAAAAGACCCTGTCTCAAAAATTTAAAAAAAGGGCTAGAATATAGCTCAGTGAGAAGGCCCTGGGCTCAATCCCTAGTACTGAAAATAAATTTTAAAAAATTTTTTTCTGGTATCGGGGATTGAACTCAGGGCCTTGTGCTTGCAAGTCAGCCAGTGGCACCACTGAGCTACATCCCCAGCCAATAAATAAAAATTTTAGAAGGGCTGGGGATGTAGCTCAGTGGTAAAGTACCCCTGGATCTTATCCCTAGTATCTCTCCCCTCCCCAAAGAACTATAATGTGTACTTCAATAATTTTTTCTATACTGATATATTCCTGTGTGCACACATAGTGACACTCATGAATTTTAGGGTCATTATGTCACAAAATGCTATCTTCATAGTTTTTCCGTGTCTTGCTTTTTTTTTTTTTTTTTAATTAAACAGCACCCATTGAAAGACCTATGTCTCTAATCCCATCTGCCTGAACAGGCTGGATATGCCCCCATTAATTCAGCCTCTCCCTTATGGATGGGCATTAGATTTTTTCAAGAAGCCAAGACCAGGAGAGATGACCTGAGGCACCTGACCTACGCACTGAGCAAGCAGTGCAGCCAGCATTTCAAAGCCGGCTTGTCTGAGCAGAGCATGTGCTTTGATTACTCCACACCCTCCAGGAGCGTCCTTGTGACCAAGGTGAAAGCATTATGGAGGGTGAATTGAAGATAAACACTCTCCAAATTGGGAAGGTGCTTCAGAGTACTTGAGCTGATTGGTTACCTGAAAAGAATGTTCTCTGCAGTCAGTGGGGCAGATCTGTGTATCCCCTTTGTCCTGTTGATCTTGTAGATTTAGGTGAAGTCTTAGATAATGATTTCCCTTGGCCATTAGAATGCCATATTAATAGGTTACAGGTACCTTATTTTTTTTTCTCTTTTTTACTTACAGGTGTTTAAATGGCAAATCTTGCGGTAGCTCTTTCTGTACATTAAAATAGTGGGCCTTTGGATCCAGCTGTGAGAGAACTGGATGAATATGGGTGTTGGGCCATTACTAGCGGTGCTTCTGTCTTCCTCCTTTGGTGTTTTGATAGTTTGCTCACAGCTTGCTTCTCTTCTCGGCCAGGTAAACAGATACAGGTGTTATCAGGCCACCTGCAGTGGGTTTACTGCTGCTCCATCTCCCCGGACTGCAGCATGCTGTGCTCTGCTGCTGGAGAGAAGTCGGTAAGCCTCAGACACTGGGCACTCTTTCCTCCTCTGCTTTAGTGCTTGAAGACGTGGATGTCTGAATGTGTTTGATTCAGTGGCTGAGGTGTTTGTGTGTGTGGCAGGGGAGGCACACTGGCGGGCTGTAGCCTCTGCCCAGCTCCCTTGAGGTTGGCACTTTGACATGAACCAAGGGAGGGGGTTCAGAAGTAGGTCGCACTCGTCATTGAGGGCTGTTTCCTTGAAAAGAGGTGTTTAGAATTTTTGTTCCCCTTGGAGTCTAAAAGTTGCAATCCACATCTGGATCCTTATTTCCTTTGAACCATCTTGATTTTAATCTAATTAGAATTTCCAGTTCAAATAGTGACATGTACAGTTACTTGTTGAACTTTGCCTTGAAATCATGTTATTTTTAAAGATAGTAGAAATCCAAGAGCGAACCATTTGATACAGTTTGTTTCTGTTCACACTTCTCATTTGTATTGAGCCTTTGCTCTAACTGATGGGGAAGTAAGTAAGGAGTCACCTTCAGTACAGCCCAGGGGGCTTATCATTTGAGGTTGGACCCCATGCAGCTGAGCATTTTCTTAAAGGAAAGAAACTGCGGGCTGGGGATTTAGCTCCGTGGTTCCACCACCTGCCTTGCAAGCACCAGGTCCGGAGTTTGATCCCCAGTACCAAAAACAAACAAACAAAGAAAGGAAAGGAAATTCTGCTTTTAATCATTCCCAGAAAGGTATGAAGTGAATTAGGTCAGATGCAGGGCCTGGGCAGATTTCTTGGTGCTGTAAGCAGATGTGAGATGGGCCTGGAGTTTACTTCTGTCCTTTGTGTTTGCTTTTAAGTGGAACAGGGTACACTTATGTCTTCCTCAGCACATACTACCTTGTTTTCAAATAGCTTAGAAGCCTCGGGGGTCATTTTAGCTGGCAGCCTTCCTAAAGTTAGCCTGGCTTATTCTCCGTTAAAGAAAACACTTTGAGCATGCCCAGTAAGTGCCTGAAAAATTCAGATCCATCGTTTTACTTCAGCCTGTATGGTAGGTTCTGGAAATGCTGCCAAGAACGGAAGAGAGAACAGTTTTACCTGGTGGTGTGGCCCGAGGAGGGAATTTCAATGCCTTTCACTGCTGTTTGTGTCCTGTGCTCTTTGTTCCTGTCCCTCACTTGGCACCTGTTGCTCTTTCTCCACAGGTCTTTCTATGGAGCATGCGGTCCTACACGTTAATACGGAAGTTAGAGGGCCACCAAAGCAGTGTTGTCTCTTGTGACTTCTCCCCTGACTCTGCCTTGCTTGTTACAGCTTCTTATGACACCAACGTGATTATGTGGGACCCCTACACTGGTGAAAGGCTGAGGTCACTCCAGTAAGGACTGAATTCCTGCTACGACTTCCTGGGAATTTGGGTCAAGGGAGGGGACAGCCTGCCTCAAAAGGCAGTCATTGTTTCAGTATCACATTGACTTTGTAAATCAGACCCAAGTGTCCTCATGTCTCCCGGCTTATGAGGCTCTCTGTGTCTCTTTGGATTCACTTTATGAAACCTCAGAGTGACTCTTTCTTTCCATTTAGTTATAACTGTAGTAACGAGTCAGAGCAATCCTCTGATCGAAACAATTGTTTCCAATGTGAATTTTCATGTTCTCACAGACTTGGTCTACTTTTCCCCTTTGTCTCTGTTGTTTTATGAAGCAAATAATAGTTAGTCCTATAATTATCATGTATCTCAGCCTAAAAAAGACTTTCCATTTGTACTGTGGCATTAAAATGAGGGCTGACCTACTTTGCATAAGGAAATTAGCACAAGGAAGTGCCAGTAACCCTCCAGCCCCCTCAAGACACTTGGAGCCATCTGAACGGCCTTTTTTCCTGTCTGTGGACCCTAAGGTTTCTCTTACGGTACCACCAGCCCTGGCAGTGTGGGCTCCTGCCACAGGTGAAGGTGCAGTCGCTCTGGACCTAATGACCTGTTCTTTCTGCAGCCACACCCAGCTTGACCCCACCATGGATGACAGTGATGTCCACATGAGCTCACTGAGATCTGTGTGCTTCTCTCCCGAAGGCTTGTACCTCGCTACAGTGGCAGATGACAGGTAACCAGAGATCACTTTGGGAGGCCTCAGAACAGGTACTTGAAATGTCTTGATCTGACCCAGGTCAGGTAACGGGCAACTGTGTCCCTCCTCTCTTGTGCAGGCTCCTCAGGATCTGGGCCCTGGAACTGAAGGCTCCAATTGCATTTGCTCCCATGACCAATGGTCTTTGCTGCACATTTTTTCCACATGGTGGAGTTATTGCCACAGGGTATGTATCTCCGCTGAACCCATGTAGCAGTTTCCACTGGGTATACGCTGTAGTTTTTTAAGGAAAGAAACATTTAGAATTTCCTTGCCTCTAACAAACCCTTAAATGAAATCCAAGATTATATAAGATTTTAGTATTCTGTTCTGTCAATGTATTATATACTCATGATATGTAACCTAAATGTAATTAAAGAGCTACTGTTCGTGCCACCTAATGGGCGAGGTCCACGGAAGTATAAATTAAAATGGAACATTTATATGGGAAACCACTTATTTATGGCTGAGACCACCTTACAGGCAACATCCGTAATTCAGTAGGTTGTGCTCTTCCCTTTTATTTTGGACTGCTGTATAGAAAGGGCTGTGCTGACACAGATCATGCATGGGAGCAGAGGCGTCTTGAGGTGGGTTTTTTGTTTGTTTTGAGGCGTGGACCTGCTGTGTTGCCAGCGTGGGCTTAGGTGATTGTCCTGCCTCAGACTCTTGAGTAGCTGAGACCACAGGCATATGCCACACATCTTGAGCCTTTTTGTTTTTATGGTATTGGGGATTGAACCCAAGTCTTCACACTGAGCTATATATCCCCAGCCTTTGAACAATTTTTTTTTAATCTTTTATTTTGGGACAGGGTGTCACTAAGTTGCTCAGGCTTGAACTTGAAATTCTTCTGTCTCATTCCCCCAAAATGTTAGGATCACAGCATGAGCTACCCTGTGTGGCTACATTTTCAGTTCTTAGAATTTTTTTTCCCCTTTTTTCTTTATTGGTATGTTTTAGATATGACAATATAATTACATTCATCACTGGGATCTTGTACCTTTACTTTTTTTGGTACTGGGAATCAAACTCGGGACCTTGTACTTACAAGGGAGGTGGCAGAACCACTGAGCTAAATTAGAATTCTGTCAGCATCCTTCATTTATCAGAATACCATTTATTTATTTGAAAAAGGGTCTCACTATGTAGTTAAGAGTGGCCTTGAACACACTTTGTAGCCCAGGCTGGCCTCAAACTCATGATGACCCTCCTGCCTCAGCGTTCCAAGTGCTGGGATTATAGGTGTGCGCCACCATGCCCAGCTATCAGCACACCTTTTCATCTGTTCCCAGTTTGAATTGCCTTTCACCCTCTGGAGTCTCCTGGTATTTCATATCATGTTGAGAAACATCACTATACCAGAGTAAAAAAGAAAAGCATCATTGTCCATCATAATGAAAATACAAATTTCTAGAGTCAACCTTAATGCATTGGTTGCTGTTTCATTTCAGGACAAGAGATGGCCATGTCCAGTTCTGGACTGCCCCTAGAGTCCTGTCCTCATTGAAGCACTTATGCCGGAAAGCCCTTCGAAGTTTCCTGACAACCTACCAAGTCCTAGCACTGCCAATCCCCAAGAAAATGAAAGAGTTCCTCACATACAGGACTTTTTAAGCAATGCTACACATCTTTTCTCTGTGGCAGAGTAAATCCTCCTGGCAAAGGAATAGTTGGAAGAATGAGCCAAACATCGGGTCCAGAGTGAAACACTTTCTTTGGGGTCGTGAACCGAATGTAGAAGCCCCATCCCAGTGGGCTCGCCATCTACCTTTTCCCCTGTGGCACGTGCAAGGCAGTTTCAGAGGAGGTTCCTCTTCACCCGTGACAGAGCCTTACCGTAAATCTTTGGTCCACTTGTAAACAGCAGATGTTGAACTTGTAGTTGTTTGGATTCAGAGTGCAGTTATTGATGTTTTGATAAGTAAGCAGGCCTCCAGAGGCTCTTAGTGGTGGCAAAGCTCACATTCCGTCAGCTGGGAAATGTGACAGCCACGTAGCATAGTACCCATCACCCATTTCAGGTGCAGTGGTAGCATGATCTAAAGTTCCCTCCCTCCTGCCGTGGTCAGGGAAGCTTTGATGTTGGCAGGTGCCTCCCTCGGGCTCCCTTCTGACCAGCAGGGCCATGTTTTCAAGGAGCCTTTTGGTATAAGGTGTTCGCTAAATCGTAGATGAAACAGGCTGTGTGCTCCTGAACAATACAGACACTACTATTGGCTGTTCCTTGTTGTTAAACAGTGGTGTGCATGTGCAGATGACAAACTTGTATGTGAGATTATATGAGGATATGATCCTGAACTGCATGACTGTTGGAATGGCCACCGAGTTGTCCATTGTTGGCCATTTATTAGCATCATATTTATTTGTTTTTTCACAGATACTGTATTAAGGTACAACTGTGTTTTCACAATGGTATCTAAAGACCAGCATACTTCAGTGAACCAGTTGTAAGATGTATCCTAGCTGTGTGAAGAACTGCTGTTGTCACCACTTCGCCTCGTATTCTTATGTACAGTCTGTCTTTGCTGCTTGACCTCATCGGACTCATCAGCCAGTCTCAACTCTACACCTAAACAAAAATAGCTCCTTAAAAGTACTGTTCTCCTTCAGTGGCACGCGGTTATCTCCTCAAGACACCTCATTCAGACAAAACCCTGCCTTAGGAAAATTTAATATATTTTAAATTATTTTAAAAGAAATGCAACATCTTATTCTTTGGCTTTCTTAATGCTTTGTGGAGGCAGTGTAACATACAACTTGTGGAGGGTAGAGGGATCTCTTCTACTTTTTGTTGCTTGATGAGAACATTTCAAAATGAGGCGTTCATTGAAGGAAAAAAAAAAACACCACCAAACAAACTTTTGTCTTTGTTTCATTTTTTCCTTTAAGAAAAAAAAAATAACACCTTTTAAAACAAGTAGTGCAGTGGGGGACTGGGAACAACTGACCTGACTTTTTATGTTTTTCTTTTTTTTCCTCTCTCTCCAGTGTTATGATTATCTGGAGATACCACCTACAGCATCATCTGAGGCCCTTTGTGGTTTCTTTGAGGCCCTACTTGGTCAGTAGATTCAAAACTACTACTGTCCTTGGTAATGACTTATACATAGATGAAAAGTAACCTACTTCTCTCTTATTTATGTGGTTCTGGGAATTGAGCTCAGAGCCTCACATGTACTAGGTAAGCGCTCTACCACTGATCCATACCCCCAGACCTACTGTTTCTCTTTGGTAACGGGGATCGCACTTGGGCCCTTGTGCTTTCGAGGCAGGCGGTGGGTGGAACCACTGAGCCAAACCCCCAGTCCGCCCCCAGATCTCCTTTTACTTGATGGTACAGATGTGCCTCAACTTCACAGGTGGGTTACATCCCAGTAACCTCACTGAATTACTCAAATTGAAGATGTGCTACCGAACATCACAGTTTGTAGTGCAGCACACAGCAGGAGTGTCAGTTACTCCCGTAATCGCATGGCTGACAGGAGCTGTGGTTCGCCACCGCCGCCACCACCATCACTAGTGTATCATTGTGTGTTGGCAGCCTGGGAAAGGTCAAAATTTGACCACTCGTTTCTACTAAACAATCCTTTTGTATCAAGTTGAAAAACTTAAGCTGTTGAAAGTTGAGGCTTAAGAACTTGACACCTTTGTAAGGAGCAGCCTCCAAAGAAAAGTTTATTCTGTGATACCAGGTGAAGCACTTAACACACATGCCAGCGGGACAGTCAGCAACTTCAACCTGCAAGCAAGCTGCTTCATTCTTGCTGGGAAGCACTTAAGTGCAGTAGAATTGCTACAAAGACTGCTACCTCTGTACAGCAGTTCTGGTCCCTTCAGCAATTACAGATTCAGATCCTGGCTTAATCATACGTGCCTTCCCTGCATTAAGTAAGATTTACACAACCCCTGGCTCACAATGTCACAATTTAATGGCCAGCTCTTTATTTTTATTGGGCAAACATTTTAAAATGATAAACAGAAATGTAAGATACATAGGAAAGTCCTGTGCTTTAATTTTGCTTTTTGACATACAAGAATGAATCTGGGTCAAAGCACAAGGCAGAAATCTGAGAACAGTTATTACAAGTAGATGGTCTGCCTTTTAAATACCCGTAAAGACTTAACAACTACTTCATTAGGAACCTTTAGAAAGTGCCAGAGCTTATCTGGCTTTCAAATTTCAGCAGAACTATTCTGAACTTTAGATCTGCTAACAACTCCTTTCCCATTCCACTTGCTCTAAAAACTAAGCAGATACTTGAAATAAAAAGTCTACATCCTAACTTTAAACCTCTAACTACCTGAAAACCTGTCCAAGGAAACCAACATGGGAGATCGGAAAAGAGGACTTAATACTGGCCGGCCTGAGCAGGCAGGCTCCTACCAACTGCTTGCTTTTACTGCAGGAAAACTGAGGTGAAGAGTGTTATTACATTCATACCAACAGACACACAATCAACATCCTACTCTCTAAGGAACTGGATCAGTTCTCGGCTGGTGGTCTGGAATGGTTTCCCCAGCTTCCTCTGGGGTGCTACAGCTTAGATCCAGAAAGAGAAATTACATTTACACAACTGAAGTTTGCAAATCAGCTCTTCATTTAAAAGTAGTTATATATATACACACACACACACACACACACACACACACACACACACACACACACACATATACACACACACACATATATACACACACACTGTTACAATTTGGAACCTGTTGGTAAGTCTTCAAGAGGAGAAATAAAAAGATCAGTTTCAAAGTAAGAATTCAAAAACATTTTAAAAGCTAGACACAGTGGCACATGCCGGTAATCCTAGCACTTTGGAGGCTGAGGCAAGAGGATTACGCTAAGTTTGAGGCCAGCTTGAAACACTGTACTGAGACTTTGTTTCAAAACCAAAAAGATTTCACTTTTTACAAGAATTTTGGTTTTGGCTAGAAATCTATCAGCACCTATTTAGACAGTACTAAAAATTAGATTCATAAACTTAACTTTGGAGATGTTTACCTTTGAGACGGAAGTCACTTAGACCATCAGTAAAAGACTTGAAAATCTCATGTTCCAGACCAAAATAGGTAGGCCAGTATCTTGTCACCCAAGCAATTGAAAGGTAAAAGCCTTAAGTCTGGGAAGAAAAACACTTTTTTTCCTATAAAAAATTAGATGGTAAGACAACTGTACATTGTTTTGTACATCGTTGTTCCAAACAGCCACAGATAAAGCTCTGAACAGTTTTCCAAGACTGGGGGTGATTGGCTTCATCAAAAAGCCCCAGGCAGCAGCTTAGTCCTAACCTGAGTCCTCTGTTTCTCTAGTCGCTGATGGGCCCCTGGGCTGTATGGCAGACAGGCTTTGGAATATCTAGGCCTCTGCTACAATCAGGTCTCTGGTGACTTGAAAAGCAGCAATGAGGGAACTCAGCTGAATCTTCTCACTAGTACCAACGGAAAGTCTGTACCTGAAAGGAAGCAAACCAAGATGAGAAGAAAGATCAGGCCACTGCCTTTTGGTAAGAAAAGAGAGATCAAAAGCATGGGAACTGATAAAAATTGATCCAGAACAGCAAGCAGTCTTGTCTATGTCCCCCTAACAATTTTTTTTTTTTTTTTTTTTTGCCATAAAGTTATTTGGAAATATTATTTCAACTGCTAAAGACAAATTTTAAGATCTTCTCAATAGCAGTGTTCTCAACTTTGTTCTGCTTCTATGCAGATTTCCTATTATTAAGGATTATTTCTTCATTGGCAAAAAGTATCATGTAAATAAATAAATAAAATGGAGATTTCTTTAAAACATTTCTCTGGGAAGTTTACCTGGGGTCTGTGGTCAAGTGAGAAAAGGGAGACAGTGGCAATTCATCCTGCTACCTTTTAAGTGCCCAGCCATCAAAAGCAAAATCATATTCACAGTACAGCCATAAGAAGGGACCTAATTTGTGCACATGAAAGACAATGACGGTAAATCAGAGCCGGCTTATGCTCATGTCCAGTTGAAACCCAACTTAAATGATAGCTGTCAGCTTCAATGGGGGTTAATAACAGTGTTTACTGAACCCAGCAAAGTGGAAAATTTTGTGTTTACTTTGCCCCCAATATGCTGCAGTCTGCCAAAATGCCTTACTAACAGCTGAAATAGCTGGTCATTCCCAAATGACCTGCGGAAGCCGCCTCCCAAATGACAAGCGCACCAGAACATGGATCCAGCCTCGGAGGCCTGAGGGGAGGCCTGAGGAGAGGCCCTCGAGTGTGTAAGTGATCTGCATCTTTTGTGCTCACTCCTGTGTTGTGTAAATAATGCAGAGCTTTTGCTACATTCCATCTAATACTACCCTGAACTGGATTATACCACGCAGGCATGATGTAGATAAAAAAGGCTGAAATCAAACATGTAGAAACAACTCACGATGGGAAAAAGATTAAAATTGGGAAAATAAATACTTACTCAATGTCTGCCATTTTGGTCAATAAATGAATTCGAACTGACGAGGGAAAGTCAACTGAGGAAAAAACAAAATCGAATGAGTAAGATCCATCACTTCCCACAATTAAAAGAAACACAGAGAAGTCAGGCGTGGTGGTGCACGCCTATAATCTCAGTACTCGAGGCTGAGGCAGGAGGATCGCTGTGAATTCAAGACCAGCCTGGGCTACATAGTGAGTTCCAGGTCAGTCTCAACTGACCCTGTCTCAAAAAACCAAAAACCAAAAACCAAAAAAAAAAAAAAAAAAACAGAGAAAAGTATGTTTAAACATCAAATAGATAAGGTCTCACAGTGGTAAAAAATTACCAGGCTTAAGTGAAGACAGTCTAGATTTCATACTTTTTACCCAATATTCTGATTCTTATAGTGTGGTTACAAATACATATGTGTGTATATATCATATTCTAAGTGGTTATGAGAACACAGAGGAGCTACCAAATGGGGGGGGGAACGAGGGAGGAAGGAAAGAAGGGACAGTAAAAAGTGAAAGTTGAAGAAAAAATTGAAACAAAGCTTTTGTACATAGGGGAAAGCACTCGAGGGAGGGAATGGGATAAAAAAGTACATTAAAAAAAGAAAGATCGCTTTGGTTTACATGAAGATGCATCATCTCCCCTTTTCGTTTTTTGTTTGAAGCAGGGTCTTGCTATGTGGTGCATGATGGCTCCAAACTTGAATCCTCCTGCCTACCATGGCCACCTGGAACAAAGCTTTAAACAGCAAGACGGGATTGCTAAATAAATTAAGGGATCAGATTTATACTACTTCATTCTTGTTTTTTGCTTCAAGAATAAAGGTTTGAGCTGCGTATGGTTGCACCACCTATAGTCCTTATCGCTCAGGAGACGGAGGCAGAAGGATAACCGGAAGTTCCAGGCCAGCATGAACTACATTACTGAGACCCTGCCTGGCTGAAAAAGCTCACGTTCACTTTCTAACATTCCCTAACCCCGAAGTGTGTGACACTGACGTCCTCCACAGCGTCTTGGCTAACAACTGATGCAGATTACCTCTGTGCACAAACAAGTGAATCTCGGTCAGGATGTCATGTAATGCCAGCCCCTTCAGAGTCTTCAACTCCATGATATCTAGAGAGGAGTTAAGGCAAAGGAACAAGTCCCAGAGCAAACAGACTGCAGAGAAGTTTTAATCTAAACCCGGGAGAGTGATTATAAAACAGGGCGTTTAATTACAACGTAGCTGTTTCTCCTTCAAGTTTCATATTAGGCTCCAATTGTCACTTTTTTAATGTTTTACCTTCAGTAAGGGCTTTCTAGAAGGTACAGTAGTACCTCCTTCTAAGGAAGAACACAGACAAATGCTGTGTCTCAAATGGCTTCCTGTCACCAATTTTATGGCGAAGTAACAGTTAACAACAACCACGTTAAAATTACTCCATCTTCCACCTGTGAGCCAAGTTGTTTTAAGCCTTACACAGGCCAAAGGCAGCGAGGCAGAACTTTTGGGGTGTTAAAAATAAGTACCCACCCTACCCAAGACCCCGATTTCTGTAACAAGCTGACCGAAGCCACAAGCAGCCAGCCAGCCGTCCTTGGGGAGCGGGGTGAAGGTGCTGGACTCGAAAAGGATACTTCTGTAGGCCGTGGTGAAGTCCTGATTCAACATCCAGTCCAGAATGTTGGCAATGTCTGACTTGAGTGGGTGCCCTGTGCAGGTGTAGACGGTCTCCTCGGTCACCTCCCCAAAGGCCATGTTGGTGCTCTGTGCAGAGGGGACATCCCGGGGTGTGTCAGCAGCTGCCAACCTGCAGGTGGCCAGGGAGAACTTCCCACAGCAGTGACACGACTGACACAGGCCAGGACACCAAGAACCCTGTGTCTTTCACTGGTGAGCATTGGCTGCTGTTTGTTGGCTGTAGAGCTGCAGAATCCTCCCTGCCCAGGTCTTGTTAGTGACAAACGATTCTTTCAATTAACCAGTGTACAAAGCGTGGGGATCTGGAACATTACGAGAACTGTCCTAGCTGCTCTAGATTTCGGAATTTTGTGTGTGTGTGTGTGTGTGTGTGTGTGTGTGTGTGTGTGTGTGGTACTGGGGATCAAACTCGGAACCATGCACCTGCAAGGCAGGCGGAGGAACCACTGAGCTAAATCCCCAGCCCTAGATTTTTGAATTTAATGACAGGTTGTCTCTTTGTTTAAAGACTTCTGAAGCAATGACCTGCAATGTACTTGGAGTAGGACCAACCTGCAAAATGTTCAGAGCCCTTCGCATATCTCCGCTGGAGAGAGTCACAAGTGCTTTCATTCCATCTTCACTTACATCAACTCTGAAAGGAAACACGAGCAGGGATTTGTGAGGCCCACTGAGAGAGAGCATGGGGGTCACCACGGGGAATGCGATGGCTGTGAATGACTAGGGCTTTAAAAGAATGAGAGGGAAAAAGGAGACCAGAGCTAGTGATACTCACCTAATCTATACCATCTAGAAGTCACTCTGGTTCTTAGGGATGTGGGCCTCACGTGAGCAATCACAGACCACCCCAAATCTGAGAAGATCCTTACTCAGGACCAAGAATCCTTACACTGAGCAACTGGCTTCGAGTTATATTCCCCAGGGAGAGCCCTAGTGTGACAATCACAGGTCAGGACCCCTCCTTTAGAAGAAGCAGCCACTTGGGGCAGCTACTCTTGGCATCTGATTCCTGGGAACGCAATGTCTCAGAACCTTCCCTTCTAGTCTAAAAAGGCGGGCAGCATCTGCAGAGGGGACGTGGCAGCAGGCGGTTTCCAGTGACAGAGTAGGAGGAAACTGGGACAGCTTCCAGGGGAGGAGGAAGGAATCAAGAAGAACCGAATGATTTTCTATGAGGAGCAATGTCCAGGAGATACCAGAGAAAATGACAGCTGCCAGCAGTCCCCAGTGCTTCCGCTGGGCCAGGCGTTCTGCTAAGTCATTTAGAAGTGTTACTGCCTCTCCGTTGGCATCGGCCATCGTCCCAGGGCCCTTCCCGCTTCCGGATATACTCACTTCTCTTCTTTTATGACATGTTCCAGTCGGGGCACCATGAGTTCGGGTGTCAGGGGACCAAATCGGAACCTCGTACACCGAGACTGCAAGGCGGGGATGATCTTGGACAGATAGTTACAGATGAGGCAAAACCTGGTATTTTCAGTGAATTTCTCAATCACTGGTGAAGGAAAATCAAACCACCTCACGTCAAAGCCCGTTGCAACTCTTCAAAGGCCCTGGAAACCCTGAACTTTTCTGAGGTCACATGGAAGATTGGAAATGCAACACTGAGGACGCTACTGTGCAGCAGAGGCCACCACAAGTGCCCAGCACAGGAGAGCAGCCATCTCCTTTTAAAGCTCATGAATGTGTCACTTGCATGGGGTTTTATAAAATGCTGTTTTTTTCTTGGTTTGTCATGATTCTGGCATGTGCTACCTTACCCCTTAGAATCGGGGCCCCGGGACACGAGATCCTGTCCTTTTGGCACAAAATGCTATCTGGCAGATGGATGATGCCTCATGCTCTCTGGGCAGGAGGAGGGACAGTTTTCAGCAGACTTTCCAGGGGCCTATGGAGGCCTGAGCTCTCAAGGGTAACAACCCAAGCTGAGAGATGCTTAGGACACCACTGTCATTCTGCAGGGACCCAGTGTTCTCGCATGAGGATCTACCCAGACTGACAGTCACTCTGCAGAACAAGATGGTTTAGAAAGGCTGCCAGTGCTCCTAGGGCCAGAAGACACGGTAACTATCCTCCTCCTCCTCCTCCTCCTCCTCCTCCACACGTGCTGTAGTCCACTCCTCCCCTCCTGAGCTGCCAAAGAGCATCTTTCTCTCACAGCTGATTCCCTCTGAATCTTATTGTGGGACCACAAGGCACCTTTAACTTCAATGGCAGTCAGGGTGGTGGTGCCTAACTATAATCCCAGCATTTGAGAAACTGAGGCAGGAGGATCGCCATGAGTTGGGAAGGCCAGCCTGGGATACACAGTGAGTTCAAGGTCAGCCTGGACTATACAGCAAGACCCTGTCTTAAAAAAAAAAAAAAAAGCCAAAAAATAACTGCAATGGTCCTCATGAGGCGAACAGATCATGGAGTTATCTCCCTTCCCTGCAGAACCATTTAATTGCTAAGTAGGGAAGTTACATCAGCTTGCAAAGTGCCGCTATACTCCAGATATTCTTTTCCTGGTTTCTTCATATCTGAATGGCAGAAGGGCCTATCTAACAGTTTAGAAGGAAAGACTTCCCATACCCTTCCACTGAATGATACAAATCCCCAACCTGAAATTGAATCCAGCAGCCAAGGAAGAAAAAATGCCAGTGACCAGGCATATGTAAAAGTCCCAACAGATGTGGTGGTGATGCCTGAAATCCCAGTACTTAGGGAGGCTGAGTCAGGAGGATTACAAGTTCAGTTCCTACCTGGGCAACTTAATGAGATCCTAATTTAAAATAAAAATGAACAAAGAAAAAGGGTTTGGGATACAGCTCAGAGGTAAAATACCCCTGGGTTTGAGCCTTAGTACCACACAAAAACAAAAAACAAAAAGAAGTCCCAACAGGACTATGTCCATAAACTGCTGAAGGGGAAAACATGACTACACAGGCGTTTTGTCTGAGTATGTGGAGAAAGGTTCCACTGGAGCAGAAGAGGAAGAGAAATGGAAAACACACTGTGCCAACACCTCAGTTCCTAATTATTTTCTTGGTGCATTGTGCAGTACTTGCCAGCTCTTACCTCTTCTCAGGGCATTCTGGGCATCTTGGGTCATGGCATCAGCTTCATCCAAGATCACCAGTTTAAACCCTTTCCTAGGAAATCAAACAGCACATCTCAAGAGTTATTCGGTCTCAGCTCTCTCTCCCTTGTTCAGACAGCCCGGTAGATTGTCCCTACAATAAAGGCTTGCAGTGGTTCTGGTTGGGACTTGGTTTTCGGCTTTTCTACCTGACATATCTGGTGCCGAAACCCGGAGGAAGGCGGTCAAGTAAGAGACAATCCACTGCTGGACAGGGTTGAGTGGCCTTTCAGCTGTCTCCTCTGGACCACATCTGCCGAGCCAGGACCTCATCAGGGCTCTTTGACTTTGCTGTTGCTGGTGATATGCCTCACACCGGTCACTGATTACAGGGTGAGTGGCAGTTTAGCTTCCCTCTACTCTGGTCCTCGGTCTGTTCTCATTCTCTCCCTCTGGGGACTTCTCGGAAATCCAAGTACTAGGTCAGAGAGACCCTCTTGGGCCACTAGGCCCAGGACCGTGCCCCTGGGGGAAGCCCCACTGGCCCAACTCCTCTTGTTCTCCCCTTCAGGGGCCTGGCTTGGGGAGTATCAAACGAGAAGGTGACATTCTTCTCTTTTGCCCTCCTAGGGAGCTAACTCCTCCTCACCACCCTAACATGGGACTCAACAATCCAAACCCTCTCCCTCAACACCTCTTGGCTGCCTCCCAGCACAACTTCGTTCCCTTGAGACTCGACTTTAAGTGAAACGACTCATTTTTTTTTTAATTGCAAACAACTTCGGCCTCAGTACAAATTAGACAATGAATCTCAATGGCTGGAAAATGGCACTCTCGATTTTAACATATTGCATGATTTGCACAACTTTTGTCAATGCACTGGCAGATGATCAGAAAGCCCCTGTATACAAGCCTTCTACCGATCCCCTCACCCCTCCCTCTGTCAAACCCGTCTGCCCTCTCAGGTACTTCTAGCCCAACTCCGTCCTCCACCCCTCCTGACTCCCACTTTTGATCTGGCAGATCACTCACCGCTCCCAACTCCTCCATCCTATAACCTGACCAGCTCTCCCACTTCCTCACCTCCGCCATCTTGTGACCCTTCCTCATCTGTGCCATCTTGTGTCTCTCCGCCACACACCTGCTCTCTCCCTGCTCCTCCAGCCCCTCCCGAACAGCAGCATGGTTAACAACCACTTCTCTGCTTGCTCTTCCTTCCCCAGCTTCCTTGGAAGAGGAAAGCAAGAGTGCAAAAAAAGTAAAATCCTCTCCTGGCCCTGCCTATTTACGTATCAACACCTTGTTTGGCAGGCTATACTACCAAGAAATTCCATCAGGGCCTACTGTTTTCTACATAAATATTGGAAAATAAAAGGTTTTAAAACAATTTTAAAAAAATGTATTGGGGCTGGGGATTTAGCTCAGTGGTTTCAGCTCCTGCCTCGTAAGCACAAGGACCTGAATTTGATCCCTGGTACAAAAAAACAAACAAACAAAAAACAACAAAAAAGAAAATGTAATGCTTAAGATCAGAGCTCAAAGAGCAAATGGTAGGTTATGGCCCAGTGCCACCTACAGACTGCTTGCTCCATAGCAAAATCAGCTGCGATGTCCTGCCAGGCAGGAAAATTAAAAAAAAAATTATAAATATATATATATTCTTGCTAATTGACAAGTGTACCTTTCGCGTTCCACTTAAAGTAATGTTTGGTGACCAACACCCAGATGTTTAATTCATCTATTTGAAACATTTCTTTTACATTGCAAATCCTTTATTTGTAATTATAGGATTAACTTGACCGTCCCTCTACTTTCTGCTTACAGACTTCTGACATTAAGTATAACACAAGATTATGCTGTTATAAAGCATTTATTCCTTCTGATTCTAATTGCAAGAGAGCTCTGTTAACTGACCTGCAAAAGTTTTGACTAGCCTTAATTAAAAGAGATGTTATAATTCAATGGGCCAAATATATTTGAGTGTGCTCTAGTTTGATAAATTGTCTTATATGCTTGTCTGTCTGTCCGGTTGTGTTTGTCCAATTCTATTTCTCATGTTATGAAAGGCATGCCTTTTCTCCCAGGTTGCTAGCTGATCAAAATGACATCAAAGGTTAATTTTGATTGTAATGTATATTGCTTTTAAATTCAATAACTCAAAAAGTGTATATATATGTTTTATTGGTTACAAATAAATTGTTAATTGCTATAATCTGGTTTTACACATTAAATAAAAAATTGTCAAGATAATTAAGATATACCCCCAATAATCATTGCTAAATATGTTGTTATAAAATGTTTACATTGGTTCTCATCAAAGGGTTGAGTTCTAAATATGTTATTGTGATATGTTTATATTGGTCACCTTCAAAATATATATTCTGGGGCTGGGGATTTAGCTCAGTGGTTCGGTGGCCTGCCTTGCAAGCATAAGGACCCGAGTTCAATCCCCGGTAGCCCCCCAACACCAAAAATATATATATTCTGTGGAAAAACAAGGTATTATAAAAGATTCTTTTGGTACCAAGCTATATTACAGGACATAGGTTTCATATAATTGAAATAATTATTATTACTACTCTTCTGGTGTACAAAATACATTCATGTGTTCTGACTATATAGGTCTTCCAACATATTGTTTATGGCAATAACTTTTTGATCCAGGTATTTTCCCTTTTCTTCTGCTCCACCTACTCATTATTACAGGTACATCTGTAGGTCCATACACTTTCCTTAGGTGGCATCCTATCAAAAGGTAGTAACTTAAGTAAGAGTTTCCTAGTTTTTTGTTTTTATGTGTTTTTAGAGGGGAATAAATACATTTAACAATGGCTATTTTATACTAAGATACATAGCTAAGTTTGTTGTAAAGGTGATGTCATCATTATTGTCATGCTAAATTATTATGTGTTGCACCTAATTCCAAGTTTTTTCTGTTAATATTGTACAGGAAATCAACTACTGGAACAACCATGATTGATAAAAATAACAGCCTTCTAACTATAGTTTAGATTCCAGGGTGCTTGCTATCCAGATAAAGTTATGATAGTTAAGTTCCTACTATACTACTGATGTCACTGATCTTCTCTTCTGGGTGTTTGTTCAACCACCGAAGTGCAGAGACCAACACAAAAGCTAATAGGGCTAAGAAGACCACCAATATTTTGGCCCTGGCCCTCCAAGGTCATCAATGATCCAAGGTATGAAGGAGCCTTTTCTACAACACCTTACACCTTTGGTAAGTCACCCAACCTCCTGAGCAGGGAGACTGCTGGACACCAGAGGACAAATGTAACGTGTGCTAGAGGGTCACCAAGAGAAAAAAATATCCCACGCTTTCACTGAAAGCAACTTGGTCAAGGAAGGCCGTGACCCATCCTAACGGCTGACACTGACAGAGGCGCTGAGAAGCTCTATGCATGGTTCCAAAATAATGCCTGCAGAGACCTAACTGACCTTGACAGATAGCAAGATGTTCAAATTGATTAACACAGGTCTCACTTTAACTGAGTCTTAAACACCCAGCAGAAAAGAATGACCAAAAGAGGCAGTCAGTGAACAGGCACTAGTGATAGACTTTTGAGGCCCACCACTCCACCTCCCTATAAAGGGATAGATCTCCAAGTGGTAAACCAGATAACCCACTCTCAAAAAAGGCTACACCACCTATTTAATACCACCCTCCACTATCTCCCTGTCACTATCTCAGACTGTCCGCTTACCCCCACTCATTCACTCCAGCTCCTGTCCCCTAGATTTTAACCTGTCTGTCTCAAAAACTGGCAATTTAGTCACAGTTCTGGGACCCTTTGCAAACCACTAACCTGACATGCACAGGGCAAAATGACAACATCACTTGCCCTGTTTGCTCCCTCTTTATCTCAGAAGAGCGCCCAGGCTGCCTATCCAACAGCCTATATTTCATATACAGCCAGGAGACACTCCGATGTCTCAAATGATCTGAAATTTTGTTACATAGCATTTCTCAGCCCTCCCTTGCCCATCTATATGGAATTCCAGATGGTTGAAAGGATCTTCCCACGGTCAAAGGTCAACAAGAGGGCAGCCGCCCTCCTGGTCCTCCTCTTGATGAAGCGGGGCTCCTCACTGGCATGGTGACAGGTATAACAAGTACTTCTACATCCACACATTTCTATTGGGCCCTGTCCACAGAGATTTCAGAAGACATGGATAAAATAAGCCAGTCCTTAAATACAGTACAAGATCAGATAAATTCTCTAGCAGCAATCATGTTACAAAATAGAAGGGCCCTTGACATCCTAACAGCGGCCCAAGGGGGAACGTGCCAGGTGAAGAATGCTGTTATTCTGTTAACCAGTAGGAGTTAAAGCAAAGCTAAAAAAATTATAGCAGCGCACTGAAGAGCGAAAAAGATGATGGGATTCTTGGGGAATAGACCAAAGCTATTCCTGGATTCCCCAAATTATACCTTGGCTACTTCCCTTGTTGGGCCCCACTGGCTTGTATATGTCTTTTAATCATGATAGGGCCCTGTCTGCTTTGCTGCTTTCAAAATTTCTTGCAGGAACACATGAAGGCATTTACCAACCAGAGAGTCATGGAACTTGTCATGGTGAGGTATTGGCCACTGTGGCAGAGGGAAGAAGACACCATCTATTGCGGCCCCCATCATATCGAAGTTTAGCTCCAACCTTTGCCCTTTTGTCAGTCTGAAGCAGCTCCAGAAGAGACCTTCACCCAATAACCATAAAACAAAGCCTGGAATGTTAAGACTTCCCTCGCCTTAAGATGGCTGCTGCATAAAAAGAATAGCCTTCCCCTTCCCATAATGCCCTGATTCTCACCTAAAAATATGGCTTCTCCCACTAAAGGACAGCCTTCTTCCCATCATGCCTCCTTTCCTGCCAAGAGAGTAACTTGATACTCGCTACCTCCTGGTGACTGGTGATGACACAAGCCCCTCCCAGTGATATCAGAAGCTCCCACATTCCCTAGCCACTACCTCACTGAATCCCACCTCAGCTCCTATAAGCTCCACCCCAGTCCTCTAAGAAGTGTTCCCTGTCTCGGCCACATTGCTGTCTCTCCTTTGTTCGGAGACATCCTGGCAGATTGTCCCTACAATAAAGTTATTCAGTCTCATTCCACCTTTGTGTTTGTGCCACCAGGTCCTGTCTTATGAACTCCATTTCTCCTAAACTCTACCCGAGGCTGACATCTGTGGCCACACACACAGAGACTGCCCCACATGCCTTCAACCCTTAGCGAGAAATGAGATTTCATTTCTGTCTGGTCTTCTGTGCCTTCATCTTCCTTCTGCACAGTATCCTGTTATCGTTATGACCTAGCTGCTGTTTGTTTTGATATTGAGGATTGAACCCAGGGTCTCATGTGCCAAGCATGACCTCTACTGCTGACTATACCTCCAGCTCCATTGTCTGCTTTTTTCCATCTCCCTGATTCCGTCTCCACATCACTTCACCACTTTTTTCCCTTTTTTAAAAAAGCCATTATCCTAGTTATCCTTCATGATCTCAATTTATTTTTGGTTAAATTCAAACCAGATCATTTAGCCTTAGATTTTTTTTTTTTTTTTTTTTTTTTTTTTTGCACTGGGGAATCGAATTTGGGTCCCTTGTGCTTACAAGGCAGGCACTAGAACCACTGAGCTAAATCCCTGGCCCTAGTCTTAGATTTAATCAGTCCTTAGTTAAGAATCAAAATGAAGCAATGCTTCCAGATGGTGCTGCTAATGGAGGTGTAGATAATATTTTATCTTCTTTCTTTTTTTGGTACCGGGGATCGAACTCGGGTCCTCGCACTTGCGAGGCAGGCCACTGAACCGCTGAACTAAAGCCCCGGCCCCCATAATATTTTATCTTAATTTTTGCATTTCAACATTCTTCCCACTGTCTCTGTACTTGGATCTCTTTGTCATGGCTGCTTATGATAATCATGGTTTTACTTTCATAAACTGACAATGAGGATTCAAAAAATTAAACTGTATTTTTTTCTGTTATCACAATCTCTAGGGAGAAAAATTATACAATTAATTCTTACTTAAATATCGTTCTTGTGCTGGCAAAGCTCAGGATTGGTCCCCGAACAATATCTATTCCTCGGTCATCAGAAGCATTCAGCTATATGAAAAGAGAGAGAGAAGCCACAATGCTTATTATCTAGGAATTCTTGGTTTTAGTCTACTTATCGATCCAGCTCAACAAACTAGTTCTCCAGGTCTAATGACAGCTACAAGATAATTTTTTTTTTTTAAATTACAGCTGTACTCAAAGCTCACTAAATCATCACATTAAATCTGAAAGGCAAATGATCTTTCCTCCCAACTTGTGAACACAATCTCTCTACATAAATTTGGGGATAAGTAATTGGCCCAGTCACCTTGAGCAGCGTTTCTAGCTAATTTTGTCTATTTCAATTCAGATCAATGCAGACTACCACATCCCAAATACATCAAAGAAAGAATACCAGGGGCAGGAAGGTATCCATTTCTGAAAAGTAAGTAAATCACTTTTCTTGCAATAGACATTTAGATTTCTGTAACCTAAGTGTATCTGTCAAAGTTACAAAAATATACAAATGGTGCACCTGAATGCAGTAACTTGAAGACAATTACAGCAAGATATTTCTTTTCTTTCCTTTTTTCCCAGTACCAGGAATCAAACTCAGGACCTTGAGCTTGCCAGGCAGGCACAGTGCCATTGAGCTAGATCCCTGGCCCAGGGAGATATTTTTAAAAGATGTTGGTCGGGGCCAATTGTAGTGGCACATGCTGATAATTCTAGCACTTGGAAGGCTGAGTCAGGAGGATCGTGTTAAGTTCAAGGCTAGCTGGACTACATAGTGAGTTCAAGGTCAGCCTCGACTACATAGTGTGACTGTCTCAAAACAAACAAACAGTTCAGATATAGAAAATCATAGGGCAATGCAATAACTTTTATCATCCCAAGCCTGACTGGGTTTAGGAAGCAGTGTAGGCACCTGTAGCAGCAGACTGTGGGTAGGGTACCATCTGTAAGGTGGGCCCTGCAGAGAGGGGCTGCTGCCTCATGCTAACCCCCAGGGAAGGTCTAGGCATTATTCTCTTCCTTTCTCTGACCCCTGCCCAACCCCTATTGGCCAAACCCAAGCAGGAGCCAGAGGGCAAGGGAGCTTATAATCAATGCAGCTCAGCCATCCCAGGTAAGGACAGGGTGATGAAAACTGGAGAAAAGATGCAGGGGAGTACATAACAGATGGTCAAGAATATAGTGACTATCAGTCTGGTTTGCATAGAAGTTAGCAATAGCAAAGAAAAATGTCTCGCCCTACAACAGCCCTCTAGCTGACCAATGCCAATGTGGACAAATCTGACCATTATTTGAAGTAAAATATCTTAGTTCAAATCTGCCTCTTTCTCAATCGCCGGTGTGGAACTTAAATAAAACTGGCAGAACAAAAGTTAAGAGACTGTGGAGTTCTTACTTACACAACAATAATTCTATTTACCTCCAAGACCATGGAGCCAAATTCTTTATCTTTGTATAGCTGTTTCGCACAGGCAAGAATAGTGGATGTCTTTCCTGTCCCTGGAGGGCCATAGAGAAGCAGGTGTGGCAGTCGGTCTTCACTGATAAATTTCTGAACTGATGATCAGGCAGAGAGGGAGAGACAGAACGATGAAACAGTCTTTGGGAGCTGCCTCATTTAATGTGGGTTCTTGAGTTAGGGTTCTGAATGTGTTTCAGCCTAATGCAACACCCCAATCAGAGGCAGATGCAGGAATGAAGAATCTTAAAGCTCAACAAAGACAGTATCACCAAAAAGGAAACACAGCTCTTTCAACTAGGGTAACAGCAATTGACACATGGATACTTACTGGTACTCAGAATGTCTTGATGAGAAATGAGATCATTCAGTGTCTGTGGCCGATATTTCTCAACCCTGAAATACAATTTTTACAATGTAGTATGACATATGTAACTGTAAGAATTTTTTCTTTATATGCAAAAGAATCCTTTCACATCCTAATTAAAAGAGGAAGAGAAACAAACCTTTTAAGTTTCAATATAGATGAGCGTCTATCAACCAGGAGCGATTTATCCTCTACGTAGTGTTATCTGGAGACATTTTAGTTGTGATAACTGGGCAAAGAGTTCTACTAGCATCTCATGGGTAGGCACCCGGGATGTTGCTAAACATGCTATACTGCATAAGACAGCTCCTCTATACCCCTTGCAGCCCAGTATCTGGCCCCAAATGTCAAAAGTGCTGAGGCTGAAAAACTCGGCTCTACTCTCATCTTTCCAGCTATATGCTGTGTCAACCTGCACAAACACCTACTACTTCAAACAGAAATTGAAACTAAACTCACATCCGAATATCCATCAATAGATGAATGGATGAAGGGTGAGCTATGCATATAATGTAATATGATTCAGCCATAAAAAGGAATGAAGTACTGATCCATGCTACCACATGGATGAACCTTGAAAACATGCTAAATGGAAGAATCCAGACACAAAAGGCCACCTATTGTATGATTCACTTATATGAAATGTCCAAAGTAGGCAAATCCATACAGACAGGAAGTAAGTTAGTGGTTTCCAGGAGCAGACAGGAAGGGAGATGGGAAGTGGCTGCCTATGAATATGGATGCGGTTTCTTTCCATTAGGGGTGATGACAATTTTTGGAACTAGATCCTGGGATGGTTGTGCAACATTCTGGATGTACATAATCGTACACTCTGAAATGGTTACAACTCTAAATGTTATGTATTTTTTACCATAACAAAAAACAAATTTGTTATTAGAAAAGAACAACCTGCAGTTTTCCCAAACCTAGCCAAATCCCATCGAAGTCTTGCATCACTAGGAAATAGCTGTTGCAGTATGATGATTAAGATTGCAAGCTCTGAATTCGGGCTACCAGGATTCAAATCCAAGCATTCTTCTAGCCCTTGACGTTAGCGAGTCATTTAACCTATCTAAAATGCAATTTCCTTATATGTAAAATACGAGTTACCTCTTAGATCTTTGTAAAGGTTTAAGTATCTAATACGGTGACTGCTAATCTAACAGCAAGCCTTTCATTAAAAAATAATAAAGTTACTATGGTTTTACTTTAGAATTCGACAAATAGTAGCATCGAAGATTTTGGCAGGAGGCAAGAGGGCCTTCTGGCTTGGGGACACAGAAAGGATCTTTCGGGCCAGTTGCGAAAGCCATTTCCCATTTTTGGAAAACGTGATGGGAGCAATGGATGAGTAGCAGCACACTGAAAGTAGGTTGCAGAGACCTGGAAAATTGGCGGGGGAAACGTCAAGGCAAAGCTCCGCGCTCACCGGGGACGGCGGGGCGAGGTCAGGTAGGGTCCCGCCACTCTCCTCACCTCAACACAACCCCTTTCCCACCGCAACAGCCCAGCCTCCTACCAGGGAAGGTTCCTTATCTTGGCCGTCGCGGGGTGCTGCTTGACTTCTGCGATCTCCATGGTGGAAAGACTAAAGTGAAATGGGCCTTTGTAATAGTCGTACCCCGCAAACACCTGTACAGCAGACCACCAGCCGCGACCTGACTCCAGCACTTACAGTTCGCGCGCAAAAGAAACTCTCGCGAGATTTGGCCTTCTACTTCCGACTTCCTCTCTAGGTGCCGCACCCCCACCGTTGCTCAGCACCGGTTGCTAGGTTACCGGAGGCCCCGGTCGCCTTCCTCTCTCCGGCTCCGCCCCTCCAGGCTGCTCTGAGCTCTCTTAGACACTGCTTCCAGAGGGACAGAGCCAGAGAAAAGACCACCCCCCTGCAGCTTCTAGGCATCATTACAAATGAAGGTCTCAAGGCCACGACCAATTCCAGCTATCGGTAAGGTACAAATACATGCCAAGGAGCTGAAAGCTACCAGAGCTTTTAAAAAACAAAAACAACAAAGTACAACAATCAACCCAATGGCCTGCTTCTTGAACAGAGATGCCCATATGAAAAAGGCTTGACATAGATACTTTTCAGTCCCAAAGAGGGGAAGTGAATGCTTGGAAGTTGAAAACTCCAAAAAGGACCGCTACTTACCTATATCCCGAGACCGTGATCCTCAGCCAACAAAATTTAGAGGGCCAATCTACTTCCCAAATTGAAAACAAATAAAATAAACTTCCAGTTGGATTAACATGGGTAATTGGAATGGGATAATTAATAAACACAGAAGACAGGGTCTTTGTGAGCTGAGATTCAGAGGGGATTTGGGATCAAAATTTTAGTTAGGACCAGGCAGAGTGTTGCACCCTTGTAACCCCAGCAACTTGGGAGGCTTAGGCAGGAGGATTGCAAGTTCAGGGCCAGCCTGGACAATTTAGTGAGGTCCTATTTGAAAGTTAAAAACATTAACATACGCTGGGTCTAATCCCTAGTATTTTCCAGCAATGAAATTGTATAACATAATAAAGTGGTTTTTTTTAACATGCTAAGACAAAAATACCAGGAGAGGGGTGATTCAGTGGTGGCTGTATTTGTTGCATCCAGTTACATCACTGTCACCTGCTTTAGGAGCAGGGTAGAAAAAAGTCACATAAATATGTAATCGCAGTTATGGCTGCACCCTAGCCCCTGCCTGGGAACCCAGACGAAGGGGATTAAATGGAGCTTGTGATAGGTAACTGGCTCTGCTTCCTCTTGACCACTGGCTGTTGAGATAATTCGCGTACCACTAACCCCATTTAGCCTTAGGTCGCTTCCTCCCTCACCCAATTATATCTCCTCAAAGATGGGTATGAAGATTAAGCACAATAACATACGTAAAACACTGGTCCATTACTAGTTTCTCTCTCTCTTTTCTTCAGGTCACACTTTCTACCCATCTTATTCTTGTTTCATATTTTTCATCTCTGACAAAACCTGTAAGATTGATCAGTAGGACTGTTCCATAACCTGAGCTTTATTCAACTACCAAGCGAAGCCCCCATTTACTAAGGACCCTTTGCAGTAGGGATGCAATGGCATTAACTCGTGGAACTAGAAGAGTCAAACAAGACTGAAAGAAGTTCTTGTAAAATTCCCCGTGCACCTGCTGTTCAGTCCCTATGGATACAGCTTGGCATGACTGCCGCCATCTTGAATTATAACTGCCATGATTTCCCCTGAGTAATTCTGGCTGTTCTTTTTTCTTCCTAGTTTCCCAGCAAACCATAAATAGATACAGCTGTCAGAGTCATATGTGTGAGGCTTTACAATTAGACCCTGGCTCAGACATACACCTGACTCAAATGTTATCTTAAGACAAACCAGGTACATTTCAGTCAAGGTGAAATCATTTTTGTCCTAACGCATAAATACACCACTCTTTCTGACCCAAATTGTGGGAATCCAGGGGGTTTTGTTGGTGCCCCGGCCCATGCTTCCATCAGTAAATCCCCCAATAAATTGCACTGTATGCAATCTTAGACCTATCTGCCTCTTTCTTCAATCTCATGGCACCTTGGGGTTGGTTCTCATGCAGTAGGACTGGGTGGTTCCAGAACAAGTTTGCTTAGAATGCAGAGTCTGCATAACATTATATAGCCTTTATTGACAAAATCAGCTATTATATACCTCTCCAGTGGACTGTAAGTTCATGGAGAAGAGAGACTTTGGCTTACCATATACTCTTGGTGCCTGGAACAGTGCCTGACTAAAGGAACAGCTCAGTTAATAACTATTTGGTGAAGGCACAAATGATAACAGCTAAGTAATATCCATTAGTCTGTTATTATAGTCCAGACATTTTTTTAAAGGTACTGAGAACTGCACCCAGGACCTTTGCCCGGAGCTACATCCCTACCCTCTTTTTAACTTTTTAATTTGAGACAGGGTCTTACAAAATCATTAAGTTTCCTGGACTGGGTTTGAATTTTCAGTCCTCCTGCCTCAGCTTCCTAGAGTGCTGGGGTTATAGGCATATGCCAGTCTGGCTGGCTAGACGCTGTTTTAAATGCTTTACATTTATTATTGACATGCTCCCCAGTTTACTATAGTTCAACTCATGATATTTTAACTTTACAACAAGTTTATTGGGGTGTGCTGTGTATTTTTTACTTATGCCATATTTTTGACTTGAGATGGATTTACTGGGACAGCCTCATCTCCAGGGAGCAACCATACTCACTCAGCTGTTGCAAGAAGATTGAGCTACTATCAGCCTCCACCTTGTACCTTGTAGATCTGTCAAGTCATTTGCTAAAATTCTCACTTCATTTATAAGGGGCAGGAAAAGATCTTACCAAGACAGCCTGATTCCACAGCCCAAGCTCTGAGCCACTGCAGCAGTAGCAGCAAGGTTATCCCCTGGGAACTTGTTAGAAATGCTAATTATTCTTCCTCCCACCCCAAATCTGTGGAAGCCGAAACTCCACGGGTAGGGCCCTCTCTGTCTGTGGTGTAATCAGCCCTCCAGGGATCCAACCACACTTCAGTGTGAGCCCTGCTCACTGCACCATACTGCTGCCGGCTCCTCCTCCTCCTCCTCGTCCTCGTCCTCGTCCTCGTCCTCCTCCTCCTCCTCCTCCTCCTTTTTTTTAACCATACTGCTTCTTGATCTTTGAGTCTCCCGGGACTTCACTTTCTAAGAAAAATAGTGGATTCTGTCAAAAAACAAAATGTCACCAAATTGCGTTTAGGGTATCATTTGGTATCCAGTGGCATCTAATCTGTGAAACAGGAGGGCACGCCACAGAACAGTGGGTAGGCTTTGTTTGCAGAAAAGGCAGAAGGAAGCAGAAACTAGGAGCACAAAGCAAGTTGGTTGTTTTGAACCATCTTTCCTTAGAGGGTGCTGTGGTTTGGATACCATTAGAGTATGACATCCAAGGGTTCCTTGGTGACAGCTTGGTCCTTGGTGGGCTTGGGAGGTTGAGGGCCCTTGAAGTGTTGAGGCTTAGTTCGAGGTTACTGGGTCGCCAGAAGTGCTGCCCTTGATGCCAGCCTCACAGAGTGAGTTAGTTGTTCTTGCAAGATGGAGTTGTTATAAAAGAACAAGCCTCTGGCTTCCTGTCTCACATGACATCATATGTCATTGTCATTAGTCCTTCCCCAGAGGCTGAGCCACAGGGGCTGCCTGATCCTGGACATTTGGCCTCTAAAACTGTGAGCTAAATAAAACTCTTCTTTATACATTATTACCCAAGTATATTTTAGCAACAGAACATGGGCTAATGCAAAGCAAAAGAGACTTTCTTATCATGCCCATTTAGGATGTCCAGACCCTTTTGGATTGGTTGCCCTCATTTTTCTTTCTTGTTTGTTTTGGAAAACGGCCCATTTTAAAGTTCAGCTTGCTTAAACCTCACCTCGCATGAGTGACTTCTTTCTGGTTGGTCTGGCCTATTGGGAGCTTAGACCAAAATAATAACCTACCAACACATATTCTGGGAAAACAAAGCTATCCTATTAAATGTCATCTGTGGGCATAGTTTTGCTTATCTCTGTTTTTCCTTTTAATTGAAGACTGTCCTTTGGGCAATGAAACATCTTTGGACCTTACTATTGGCACCTGTGGGCAGGCGTGAAGACTAGACTAGAACAATGATTTTCAGCACCTGGAGAGTTTTAAAAATTCCATGGCCAGAAAGTGGGCCCAACCAACTAATCGGGGAATGGGAATAGCACGTTGACTTTTGTAGTTTTTGAGACAGGGTCTTGCTACATCATCTAAACTGGACTTGAACTCTCAGTTTTCCTGCCTCAGCCTCCTAGTAGCTGGGATTAAAAACAGCACATACCACCATGCGTGGCTTCCACACTGGCATTTTAAGAAGCATCCCAGGTGATTCCAGCATTCAGCAGGAGTTGAATCAATGCTCTGGAAAAGCCAATACCAGCTATTCCACTCCCCTTGCTATTGATTGGCTTAAAAAGTGAGCATGAGACCTAGTTCTGTCCAATCAGATGTTAAGAGGAAATGAGCGGGGAGCTCCTGGGAGCCTTTTCCTCATTTGCTTTGCTGGTCCTTGCACTAGGCAATCTTCCTTTCTCTCCTAGTACCCACATTCTCTGTGTGAGTCATAAAATCACATAAGTAGCCTCTTAATGGAAGAGAGTTGAGTGGAAACTCTGCTCTGCCTCAATGGGGCAAAGCTTTTAGATACGAGTAGAAAAGAAATGTAGAAATGAGATACTGGCTAGCTTGCACAGTCGCTAGAAAGGATGGAGGATCCATTTTGTAAAATGGGACAAAGTCAAGCCATGCCACTGAAATAAGGGTCAAAATTACTCTACCAAATTGGGCCAGCCGGGGATTTAGCTCAGCGGTTCCTCCGTCTGCCTTGCAAGTGCAAGGACCTGAGTTCGATCCCTGGTACCAAAAAACAAACAAACAAACAAAAAAAACAGAAAAAATTTGGCTGGAGGTTTAGCTCAGTGGTTCTGTTGCCTGCCTTGCAAGCCCAGGGCCTGAGTTCGATCCCTGGTACAAAAAAAAAAAAAATTGCCAAATTGGGCCAGTAGAAACAAAAACAACTTGCTGGTTTTAATGGCGAGTGGATACTTATGACTAGAAACTGGATGTTGCTTTCTCTACTTCTAATGGCAGAAATAACTGGCCATCTACCTCTTGTGCTGGGCCCTTCTCCAAGTTAGCATTCCATGTATAAGACTGGGAGACATGCCTAGTGGCCAAGCCTTCGTCAGATGCTGGTGAGTACCTCATAGTTAGTTCTTGTTCTTTGGGGAGGGCCCCACATTCAGATCCAACCAACCCTCAATGGAAAATATTTTTTTTAAAGTTGCTTCTGTACTGGACATAACAAAATATTGGAACAACTATTTACATAGTATTTACATTGTACTAGATATTATATGTAATCTAGAGATGATTTAAAGTATACAGGAGGATGTGTGTAAGTTTTATGCAAATCCTATTCGCTGTTGTATAAAGGACATACATCTTCAGATTTTGATATCTCCAGGAATTCTATAACTAATCTCTGGTGGATAACAAGAGATGACTGTATGTAACTGTTATGACTTGTATCTAGATGTCTCCCCCAAAGTCTGATGCAGTCATAGGGGGTGCTTTTCAGAGGTGGGTGGACCTAGGATGTGTCATGCTGGATGTGATGCTGGGATTAAGCATGCCCCACCCTGGGTGTGAGTAGATGGAATGTAAGGGGCAGAAAGAAGTTAGTCTGTTGTTCTGCTGCTGTTGTTGCTTACTGCTTGCTGCCTTCTGCCTGCTCTGCTTTGCCATAGACTTTTTCTCCTCTGTGATGCCCCTCAGCCATGCCACTTAGCCTTGGAGCCAGCTGACTATGGACTGAAACCTCTACAAACTGTGAGCCAAGATAAATCTTTCCTCCTTTAACTTTGGGCTTTGGGTGGATTTTACATCTTTTGCCAGTTTAAGGAAAGTTGAACTGGTGTCTCTGTGTAAACTGTGGCATTCATGCCTTGAGCCACACACTTTTCATATATAAAATCACAACCAGCTTTGGAAATGTTTTAACAAAACATAAAGATCCAGAGATGTCAGGATCAGAAATTATAAACAAAATTACCAACAGAAGCCTCTTTCAATTGGAATGTGGGGAAGGGAGCCCTGCATTTTCTTACTCTCAGCTTTGGAACCAACTTGGCTTTGGACACAGCACTTACTGCCTTAGTTTATTTTTAAGACTCATTCTTATGAGAGAATGGGATGCAGGGCTATCTTTGGTTGATGCTGGCAGAAAATTAAAGTGGGCCTCCTTTCTGAACATGTTTATAATGCTAAATCATGTTTAAATAAGAAGCAAAGACTTGAAGGAGGGAAGAATCTCATAGGGCGATTTGAAGCGTGTATAAAGGGGAGAGAGAGCCCATTGCTTTTTGGTGACAATGGCGAAACTGCAAACGGATGGGGACTTTAAGTCCTCAGGTCCTCTCTCCTTGTCACCCTCTCATCTTTCTCTTGTAAGAAGTCCAAGAATCCCTCACATCAGAACTCAAGTACTTCATCAATTGTCCTAAACATTTATCAACTGAATGATGAACTTGTACTTATTGATTCTTGAATCTAAGTTCGACACTGAAAGGGATAACTCATATGTGAGTTTGCTCCATGACACTTGGGCTCAATAAAGCTCACATTTCCTTTATTTTTCTGAATTAGTAGATGTGCTTGAGGTACTGTTATTCCCTTAAACCAAGTTGTTCAAGAAGCTTACAAAGTTGTGGAGAACTAAGCCAACAGGAACAGTGTTCCTCAGGGCTTTATGTCATCTGTTGGGGAAGATTCTCTTTGTACACTGCTATAATTTGGATCTGGAACAACCCCAAGACCCATGTGCTAAAGGGTTGGTCCGCAGCTTGGTGCTATTGGGAGGTAATGGAACCTTTAAGATGCGAGGCCTTGTGGGAGGTCTTAGGTCATCAGTGCGCCCTTGAAGGGGATGATGGGAATCCAGCCCCTTCTTGACTTCCCTTGATTCCTGGCTTCCATGAGAGCGACAGCTTCTGTCACGTGCTCTCACCACTATGTACTGCCTTGTCACAGGCCCCAAAACAGTGGAGCAACTCACCATAGACTGAAACTTCCAAAATTGTGAGCCCAGATAAACTTTCCCTTTTTAAAAAAGTCTGATTATCCAAGGTATTTTGTTACAGAAATACAAAGCTGACTAACACAGATGCACAGCCCGGAATGAGCTCTTTGGATAGCATCAACTCTGCTGCTAATAGCGTCCTTTTTCTTTGTGTACAATTCAGCTCCACAGAACTTTTGTCGTTGCTCCCAGTGCCGCAGAATTTTGAGGTTTAGATTTCTCTACACCCCTCCCTTGAAGTCCTTCTACATCCCATTCCCCCAGAAGAACTCAGTAGAAACAGGATGGGAGCTCCACTCTGGCTGCTCAGAGTGACCTGCAGGGGCCAGCAGTACCCACATTGCCTACAGACTTGTTAGAGATGCAGTCTTTGGCCCAGAATCTGTTTGTCAATGAGGACTCCGCGCAATTCGTGGGCCCCTTTCAGCTGATAATCTTTGGATACCAGCAATGTATCTCCGTCACTCTTTTGGCCTTTGTGCCGTTCTGCATCCATCTCTATGGTGGAATTCTTCAGGGAGTTGGGCTTTGCCTCTCTCACACAGCACTCTCGCCTTTTCCCCTCTAAGGACTTGGTATTTTAATAATTTAACTCCAACTCCCAGAGTTTCTAGGCATTCAAGCTCCCCTGGGCTAGGCAAACCTAATACCCCAGAACTCTAAGACTTAATTAATTGGGGAACAAAGATTTCCCTTAGTCGTTTGTGATAAGTCCACAGCAGAAAGTAAGCCCCGTTAATTTCTCAAGCACATTATCCTGTCACACTAGTGACTGGACTTCCAAATTGGTAAAATTTTAAAAACATTTGTTCTTTTAGAATCTTTCCTTGTTCTCCCTAGTTGAGTCAAGTATAATAGCCCTGGGCTGGACTCTCTGGGGTCATTGTGATTAATTAAGACAGAAAAGTGTTAATAAGGCTGGCTTTGGTTGACCTTGGTCTAACCTCAGACCATGTGGCTTTAGAGTTTGCAAAACTGAAAAGACAGTGGTAAAAAGCAGGTGACTGTGTACCTGTCCTCTGTTCTGTGTGCAAAACTAGGTGACAGTTTACTGTCCCTCTGTCATTGTACTAGCTACTCTGGGAGAGGTAAGTAAGTGCGAAATAGAGTATTAGCAAAAGCCTGTAGATTCCACTTTAGGATGCATAGTAAGAAGAAAATGCAAATTACTATCATTATTTACGTTGCAGGACAGAGTTACACAACACTTTATTATACTGTAGATGCTACAGAACTGCTATTTATAGACATTTTATCCTATTCCTCCGGTTCCCCCTAAACTCACTCTTTCAAAGCATTTGGCCCAAGATCAATAGCAATGTGAGAAAAAAAAAGTATATTTTTAAATACATGCAATGCTGAAAAGTAAAGCAAGAAACTACTGAAAATTGAGGAGCCAAGGTTGTCCTAAGTCAGTAGGGAGAATTTTTAAACTCGAGGATATTTTATGTGTCTTAAATATAGACAATCAAAATCTATTTTAAAAAATTCTTTCAACTAAGAAAGTTTTAAATTTCTTTTTTAAAAAAGGAAGCATCTTAGAATTAAATCCTGTTCCAAATTGAGGAGACTTGGCAGGTTTGCGGAAAATGAAACTTTGCCATGTTCATTAATATGAAGATTGGACAATTGTGCTTTTAAAAAGTTCTGAAATTTAAAGGTCATTTAAAGTGCAGATTTTAACAAAACCGAATTTATTTTTTAAAGGGCTAACTAAAGTTTCCTGGGTCACAGGGGAGTAAATGATTTTATACCCTCTGCTTTAATTTTTTTTTCTCAAATTAAGGGATATTAGACAAAAACAACATATTCAATATGTCATAGTTTGGCAAATGTCAACCCAAACTGTTGAGTATGGGTTATTTTCAGTTTGTGCCAATTAATTAAAAATATTATCTTAATGTTAAATTCGAATAAGTTCCTGGTTTTGATACAACTTCTAATTTTCTTCTGTTGCTCAGGTGATTTGAAATTCTAATTGAGAATGAATTTTGCAAGATTAACACATAAAAGGGCATCACTGAAAACATTTTCCATTGCATAATTTCAAATGCCATGGAAGTGGTTGGCATATTTGGATAGTCATGGAACTTAATTCCATACATACATATTTCAAAATTATCCATCTGTTTTAACACCAGGAAGGGTTTCACTGGTAAGATCTTGGTGTACCCAAATGTAGAGAACTTGGTGTGATAAAATTTGCAAAATCAAAATCATGTTATTTCTTTAAAAACAATTGGTGGGATTAGAAAGTTATTCCAAGTCGCCTGCAATATGGTATTATCAGAAACAAGAAAACAAAGTAATTTGTTCATGTCTTCCCATACTCCCAAGTGACCTCCGGGGAGAAAATACAGACAGAGATAATGAATGAAAGGTAAATCTACCAGACCCTAAAGACTAGGAAAATTTAACTTAAGCTGTGATGTTAATTAATGAGATTATACCTTTTCACCTGAAATTGTAGGTGCCCAAGAATAACAGTGCCATCTAAACACCACTTCTAACTTACTTATATTGAGAGAGTACCTTGATATCTTTCAAGTACTATAAACCACCCTATTACTATACTGTAGTTCATAAACTTCCCCTTTAATTAGCCACAACTTTATGGACAAAATGGTCGCTCTTTGTGGGCTGAAGGCGAATAAAGATGGCGGCCAAGAATGCTTCCCATCTCAGTAGATACATACACACAGCGGGTCTGTGGCTCAAGAATCTGGTCTGGCCTTTGTCTGGCTTTGACCAACAACATGCAGCACAAACACTGTTCTGGCACCTCCAAGCTGGGCCAGCCACAGGAGTGAGGCCATCTTGGATGTACCAGTCCATTTGAAGCCATCCCAACCAACACCATGTAGAGCCCAGAACTGCCTCAGCCCTTTGGGATTCCAGACCCATATGTTCAGGAAAAACGAATCAACTATTATTTTAAACCATTACAGTGAAGTATGGTCTAGCATGCAGCAATAGATAACTGCCATAGTGACAATTCTCTAAATCCTGTAAATTGGGGATTTACAAACTTTTTGGAGGTTGAGAAGTAATGGAAGCTGGAGTGGTAATGAAACTGAAATTAATATAACATATGGAAAAATTTTATAGTTTTTTTTAGAAAAGCTTTGTGGCTATGCTTATAAAAAATTTCAGTTGCAAGAGTTTCTATTATGAGAGTGATTTATTGGTAACTCGGTTAAGGTATAATCATGATGATACCAGTGACAGAAGCTATCACTTTAGTATTTACCTAATTTTTACTTGACATGTTGTTGTAGTCAGGGTTTTAGCAAGGGAATACATTAAATACAAGACACATAATTTATAGGGTTATTTTATGGTAATTACCCAAAAAAGTCAAATGCAAAGGAGTACGAGAGATTAACCACACAGGAGAGACCCAAAGAATCCAGCCGAGGGCCTGAATCCCAGCAGTGTCCCACACAAGTCCAGCTAAAGGCTTAAAGTCCAAGGCAGTGTCCTCTACGAGTCCAGCCAGTGGCCTGGAGCCCACGGCAATGTCTCACACTTGTCCGTATTGAGGATCTGCGCCTGAAGACCCAAAAGCCAGTGGTGAAAGCCAGAAAACCTACGCTGGTGAGACAAAGGATTTGTGCTACCAAGCTGAAGGATCCACATGGGAGCCAGGAGGATTTAATGCTCAGGGTAAAGATCAGCGCTCCCCTGATGAGAACAGCA